GCCATGGGTTTGCCTGCAGCCCCTCTGTTTGGGCCGGAAGCCTTCCCATGGGCCCTGAGCCCTGTCCTCGCTTGGCTCACACCTTTCTTGCTCTGGTTCATCCAATGCTCAGAGCCCAGCAGGGCCCAGGGGCGGGGTGGGGGGATGGTGGGAGGGCGGTGGGGGTGGTGGTGATGGTGTGAGACATGGGCTGTGCGCTGGGGCCAGGCCTGAGGGAGACCAGGCCGACCACCCAGTGTTCCAGGAAGCCACTGGGAGGCGTGGCTGGCTCTGAGGAGGAACCCGTAAGCATCGATATGGGGCTGGGGGCTGAGCCAGGCTTTGCTAGTCGCCCAGATCCAAGGAGGACCTGAGGAAGGGAGGGAGGGTGCCTGAGGGTGTTGGGGGGAGGGGGAAACTGCTTCGTGCCTCAGTTTCCCCACAGGTAAAGTCTTCTCTGGCAGGGGATGCCCGAGATGATCTGCAGCTAGGGAACCGGGGGCTCTGCTGGGTGCTGAGCCCTAGATATCAAGCCAGACTGGGTAGGGATTGGCAAGCTCTGCCCCCACTTCCGGCCCCCTGAAGTGATGACAAACCCGGCTCTGGCTTTGGGCTTGGAGGGCCAGGTGGGAGGGTGGGCTGGGCCCCCCACCAGAGTCCAGCCAGACCTAAACCTCCGTCCTCCCGCCCTGGATGGGGACCCTGCATCCCAGGGGAATGGTGCTCCCGAGGCATCCAGCGCTGGCCCCTCCCCGAGCAGCCCTCTTGGCGCTGCTCCCGGGGGTGTCTTTGCCCGGACAAGGGAAATGTTTTTGCCCAGAAGGACCCAGCACGACAGGAGGATGGATTTTGTGGTATCTGGCGGCCAGCGTTCCCCAAGGCAGTAAATCCTGCTCTGACTTGCTGTGTCCACATGGGCAAGAGGCCTGATGGCCTGTCCTCTCACCACTGTCCACCCCACCCAGCAGCGCATGGCCTCCTAGCTGGGGGGTGTGTGTGTGTGTGTGCATGTGTGTGTGCGTGTGTGTGTGTGTGCGTGTGTGTGTGTGTGGTTAGCCAGCTATTCCAGCCCAAGGCCTTTGCACTCTGTTCCCGCTGCCTGGAACACCCTTCCCCCAAAGTAACCTGAGACTGCTTCTTCTGTCCCTCCCTGACCACCCCACCCCTGCTAAGAGCAACCTCACCACCTCACTTGTGTCTTTATATATATTTGATTGATTTCAGAGAGAAACATCCACTTATTTATACATTCATTGGCTGATTCTTGCATGTGCCCTGACAGGGGATCGAACCTGCAACCTTGGTGTACTGGGACAAGGCTCTTAACCACCAAGTCACAATGGCCAGGGCTCAGCTGTGTCTTTCATGCCACCTTGGTTTTCTCTTTCGAGCACAGTTCATGCCCATTTACGTGCTTGCTATTTTTTTTTTTTTTTTTTTTTTTTTTTTTTTTTTTACTGCCTGTTTTACTATTTCTCATTCCAGATTAGACTTTGAGCTCTGGGAAGGCAGGGACCTTGTTGGCTGATCCGTCCCCCCCGTTAAGACTACGCCTGGCACAGATAGGTGCTCAGTAAACGTGTGTAGGTGAATTTTAACTCTTGTCTTGGAGACTCGAGCATGGATGGTTTCTTTCTGCCCCCTCCATGCCGCCATCATGGGATGGAGTGAGGGGAGCCATGCCCAGAGCTGGCACCCAGGAAACAGGGCTGGGCCACGTTTATGGAGCCTGTTGTGTTTCTTGGCTGGCTGCTGACCATGGGAGGCAGCCAGGATATGTTCCAGACCTTGAGGAGACCCACCTCTCACTAAACAATCCCCGTGATGGTGACATGGGATTTAAAAGGCCAGATGGGAAGGCATGTGATGGGGTGTCAGGAAGACCTCAATGGGGTGATGTTCAAGCTGAAGGAGGCAAGGGGGAGAGCTGTGGGGACTTCTGGGGGGACAGCCGTCCAGAGAGAGCATGGCAAATGCAAAGGTCCTGGGGCAGAACTGTGTCTGGTGTGTTGGAGGAACAGTGAGGGGGCCTGTGTGGCTGGAGCGGAGTGAGTGAGGGAGAGAGATGCAGGAGGTGAGGGCAGGAAAGGGACAGGGGCAGGTCGTGGGGAGAACTCAGGCATGTGCCCCAGTGGGAGCCTGGAGGGCTGTGGGCAGAGGAACAGGACCTGACTCGGGTGTCCACAGGCGCTCTCTCTGGTCACTGCTGAGGGGAGAATGGACTGGGGGGCTGGGAGGGGGAGCAAGGGTTGGAGCCAGACCTGGGCAGGTGAGTGAAGGTGGGGGCTGGGCCCAGGGAAGCAGCAGCAAACCCCAGGGCCAAGGGGCCGTCTCAATAGCCTCATGTGTCCCCGCTGGACCAACAGGCACCTCGGCCTACATCCAACAGAACTTTGTGAAGAAATCTGTGGGGTACATTTTGCCTTTGAGATCCCCTGGTCCCATTGGGTTGCTTTTGTTCCAGTCACGCTCACCACTCCCACTTGGAAGGTCTTTGTGAGACGAGAGACATTTTGCGTGTTGTCCCAACAGTAGCTAACATGACAAAACCACTCCGCGGCTCAGCCCCCTGCCACCTCCGGGCCTCCGTTTCCTGTCTGCAAAGCAGGACTGATAGGAATAGCTGGCAGGTGGGAAAGGCTCCAGGGTTTCTCTCTTTTAGTCTTATTTGGATCACATACATTTTCTTGGGCGACAAGGGCTCAGAGACCCCCTGGCTGAGCAGTCCTTGCAGGCCTGTCCCACCGGGAAGTGTTAGGGCCCTGGTCCTCAGGGAGTGTCTGCGGGGAGGGAAGGGAAGGCCCTATGGCTCCCTGCTGCGCTCTCCCCGATGGTCTCCCATGCCCTCTGCCCCATGCCCTTTCCCTCATGCACATCTGGAAAGACATCACCTGGGGGCAGGGGGAGCTCTGGCAAAGGTCCTCCACTGCCCCAGGCAGGGACTGCTAGGGCAGGAGGTGGGGTTCCAGGCAGAGGGGTGGGGGGCCTGGGGCCTGTGTGTGGGATGGGGATGATGTCAACCCCTCACAGCCTAGTAAATGTTTATGAGCAAGGGGGCCTGGGTTTGGGGGCTCCCTGGAGCCAGCAGGCAGCTGCTCCCTCCTGGCCTGTTCTGGGGGGCCTGGCAGTTCTGCTTAGACACTGGCGGCCGGCCCACCAGAGGGCTGTGTGGGTGGTGAGCACAGTCCCTGCCTGAGGTGTCTCGAGGGGAAACCAAGGCTGGGAGGTAGGAAGGGGCTGGCTGGCTGTGAACCTTCCCTTTCCATCAGGCACGGGGTTTGGGCTTCGGAGAAGTTGTGGGGGAGGCTGAGGAAGGGTGCGGAGGGAGGTGCAGGCGGGTCTGGTACAGGTCCTTGAGCAGGCACCTCCCTGCTCCAGCCCTCTGGGTCCTCCATGCAATGGGTCTGGGTCTGTGGTACCTACTCTTAGACTTTGTCACCCCTGCTGACTCGGGCAGGATGAATGGGAAGAGGAAGCAGACAAGGAGGCAGAGACAGAATGTGGACACCACAGGGCCAGAGGCTTCGGAGCGGCCAGCCATCCAGCTGAGCACGGTGAGCTCTGCCCCCTGCCGGCCACTGAAGGAACAGACCAGGCTGGTGCAGGAGCAGAGGGGCTGTCCCCCAGAGGGTGTGGGGAGCTTATTCCCAGGGTACAGTCATTTCCCTCCTCACTGAGTATCTTATGAGGGCCCTAGTTGCACCCCACTTGCCAGATGGGAAAACTGAGGATGGAGCCAGGAAAGAACCAAGTGTTGAAACCAGAAGGCAGGTCTGGAAGCCCAGCACCCTCAGGGCTCAGCCAGGCGCCTGGCCCCTCCCCTCAGCCCATGGGCGGGTAGGTTGTCTCCATTCTTCCTCAGGGAACCCAAGTCCAGGCGCAGGATGCTGGTGCCCCCTCCAGGGAGGGCATTCTTGGCAGGGGTCCCTCATCATGGGGTGTGGGGAGGTTGGGGGGGCAGGGCCAGAAGAGACCTGGAGTGGCTATACTGGGGCAATAAAAAATGAGCAGTGACAGGCCAGTGGCTGACAGCAGCAGTGCCCGGACTGTGCTCTGCAGAGGTTTAATTTTAGCCGATCAACACCCGGCTGAGTTATTACCTGGGCCGGACAGAAGGGAAAGCAAGGCTCCAAGTTTGGCTTTCAACCATGTCTAGGCCCTGGGGGTGGACGTGAGAGAAAAGAGGGGTAGGGAGGGGCGCAGTGAGGAGGGTGCATGAGAGCTGCAACCAGCCTGGCCTGCTCCTGCTGCCCCCAAGACAATTTGCAGAGCCCAGACCCCGCCAGGGCACAACCCTGCTCCCAGGGGGACTGGAGGGCCCTAATTTATGACCCATCTCAGCGTGCTGGAGCAAGCCAGGCCTTCCTCTCCGGCTGCCAGGAAACACCGAGCCAGTTCTGCAGAAAGTCTGGGGGCCGAGGCGGCCAGTGTTCTGGGGCTGCCTAAATCACTGTGCCTGACAGGTGGCGGCCGGTGAGGATCTCAAGTCTCTCCTCTTGTTGCTGCCAGGGCCCCCTGCCCTGCAGGCTCTCAGTGGCCTGTCACCCACCTGTCAGATGGAGACAAGGCTCTGGGGCAGGCCATCTGCGGCTCTCTGCTCCAATGCCCGGGAATTTGGAGTCAGGCTGTGCGTGGGCCGTGGGCGTGTTTTCCGCATGCTGTTGGCTTTGGGGGGAGGCCCAGACAGAGGATGGTCTGTGGCTTGCAGGGGAGCAACAGGAAGGGCTGTGGGCGCTGTCCCAGCTCCCACGCACAGGTTCCTGTCCCCCGACACCCGCTCCCTGCTTCAAGGCCAGCTGGTGCCTCTGGTCAAAGGGGAACAAATCCAGGTGCCTAATCTCCTGCTCCTATCCTCCCTTCCTTCCAAATCTACCCCGAGTCTCCCTAGCTGGCGCTGGCCTATCACTCTCACCCCGGAGAGCAGGGGAGGAGAAAAGGAAGACACACACACACACAAATATACATAAAATTTAATTTTAGGGGCATTTCCACCTGCTCAAGGTTGAGGGAGGTGGTGGGACTCACACCTTGGGCTCTGCGAAAAACTCCCAGCCCTCCAGCTGGCCCATCTTGGCCAGGGAGGCCGCTATGCCCATGTACACGCAGGCTGCAGCGCCGATCCCATAGTTGTGAGCTGCGAGGGTGAAGAGGGTGGCGTCAGGGACTGTGGGGCTTGCCCATACCTCCCCCCACCCCCCACCCCGGCAGGAACTCCTCCCTCGAGGGATTAAGTCACTTAACCCTCTGACTTTGAAGGTGTGTGAAAACTGAGGCAGAGAGAGGCAGGAATACAGGCTGTCAGGATGGGAGGGAAGGGTAGGGGCTGCTGGACAGGTGCCGCACTGGGAACTCCCAGCCTGTGCTGAGTACTGGTACCAGACCCCTGTCTATCCCATGGTTTGTGAACCAAGGAGCAGATTGCAACTGATGGCCTGAAAGCTGCCGCCAAGGATGGGGCTCTGCTTGCTTTGTGTGGGCTCACACCCCTTCACAGGCTTGGGGGCGCATGCCACACCCAGACCTCACCCAAGGTCTCAAAGCAAAGGCAGGCCCAGCCCAGGTGGCTCAGCGCTTGAGAGTCAACCTATGAACGAGGAAGTCATAGTGCGATTCCTGGTCAGGGCACATATCTGGGTTGTGGGCTCAGTCCCAGTAGGGAGTGTGCATGAGGCAGCTGACCAATGATTCTCTCTCATCATTGATGTTTCTCTCTCTGCCTTCCTTTGAAATTAATATAAATGTGTGTGTGCGTGTGTGTGTGTGCGTGTGTATATATATATACATATATATGTATTTTATTGAATTTTTACAGAGAGGAAGAGAGAGGGATAGAGAGTTAGAAACATCGATGAGAGAGAATAATCGATCAGCTGTCTCTTGCACACCCCCTACTGGGGATGTGCCTGCAACCAAGGTACATGCCCTTGACCGGAATTGAACCTGGGACCTTTTAGTCTGCAAGCCGATGCTCTATCCACTGAGTCAAACCAGTTTCAGCCAAATGTATATTTTTAAAAATAAAGGCAAAAGCAAGATAGTGTGGGCTTCCCCCTCTGCACTGCCCTCCTTCTCTGCCTGGCTGGCACCCGCCACTGACACTCCCAGCCTGCTCGGCCAGGGCAGTTTATCTTAGTGTGGCATCTGGGCTGTGGGAGGAGGAAAGAGCATTGTCTGCTCTGTTCAGGGGGCTCCACCGTGCCAGGCTGGCCTGGGCCAGACCCCTTTCACCAGGGAGGCATGCTCTGCTGGATCCCAGGTGACCTCAGGCCACCTCAGCCCCATCCCTGGGCCTTAGTCATTACATCTGTAAAGTGGGGGTGGTAGTACAAGAACCAGCACCACCTTCTTCGTGCTTATAGGCTGGTGGCAAAAACAGGCAGTGACCTCAAATTCTCTGACAAAGCGCAACAAAGGAGGGAGTGAGGGTAGTGGGGGTCTGAGATCATACACAGAGAAGTTGGGGAGAGAGAGCGAGCTATACTGACATCTGGAAGAAGGACATTCAAGCAAAGAATAGCCTGTGCAAAGGCCCTGGAGCAGGACGGTGCGTGGCGTGTAGGAGGAACACGGAGGAGGCTTGTATGGCTGCAGCAGAATGAGCGGGGGGGGGGGGGGGGGGGGGGGGAGGGAAGTATTGGTGAGGTGGGGATACGGCAGGTGTTTAAAGCAGCAGCAGGTGTTACTATTGTTGAACTGGCACTGGGAGCTTTCATAGCAAGTGCCCCCTCCTCTGTGTCCTACACAGCCGGCCCTGCCGGGTCCCCGGTCAAGGATGGAGCGCACAGGGAGGAGGCTCCGGGGAGGGCAGGGCTGGGGAGCCACTCACTGCGTGCTCCCAGCGTCAGGCCTCCAGCGCAGCCGCCAATGAAGTAGTTCAGGGGGTCGTCGGGCTTCTGTCGGACCTGGGCACTGACGCAGGAGGCAATGCCAAATATGGCACCAATGGCAGCTGTGGGGCAGATAGGAAGGGGTGGGCACTGAGCCAGGGGCCCGGAGGGGCAGGATTGCCAGGCCAGTGCCGGAGGGGACAAGGAAGAGAAGATGCTCCCCACTCTCCCCGACACACTGTTTGCTCACCTGCAGTAAATGTGTACCGTCCTGTCCTGGCCACTCCCTCCAGGAAGGAGTCAGGGGGCTTGAGGGCGATGCTGTAGGCGGAGGTGATCAGGCCTGTAGGATGAGGGGTAGGGTGGCTCAGACTTGGGCCTCTGCACTGAGGAGTGGCCCTGGCTGGGGAGCAGGCCCCTGTCACCTGATAAACCTTTCCTTCCTTGGTCCCTACTGTGCCCCCCAAGGTATCTCAGCTGGAATGGGAACGCAGGTCCGCTGCTGCAAAGCCTGGGCTCTCACCCTGCCTTCAGCCCCCAGGCTCCTCATTAAGCCTAATCAAACCTGCAGAAGGCCTGCCTGGGTCCCCGCCACCCCCATGGGCCCACCGCAGGGCACCAGCCCAGTACACAGAGGACAGGACAGGCTCAGGGCCTCAACAGCCAGGCTGCTCCCTAGCCCTGAGTGCAGGTGCAGCCACCACAGCAGCACTCCCAGAGCCCCTGGCACCTGGGTTCCTCTCCCATCAAGGGCTCTATTCTCTGTGGGACCCGGGGCTCCATGGCCTAATCCTCCTTGGCAGAGGCTTGGCTCCTGGGGCTGCCAATGCTTCCTTGTTGCCACCCAGGTCCCCCTCCCCACTGGCAGCTCTGGCCTGGGCCTGTCCCTCACACCTGGCTGGCTGGGTGGATGCCCATATCCACTTGGCCTCGCCACTGCCATCAGCTTTTCCATCTCTGCTGTCGGCCTGACCACCCTGCCCCTGACCTTGGCCGTTGATGCATGAGAGACCCAGTGGGGGCTGGGTCTGCTGCTGAGTGCCAGGTGGATGGCAAGGACCCAGGTGAAGAATTCTGAGTGGCCCCTGAGCTGGGTTGGTATGTGGGTTTGGAGTAAGGCTGGGGCAGACAAGGGCCCACCTGGCTGGCTGCCTATCACCAGAACAGCCCAACATGGGGTTCCCCATTATCCAGCTGACCCTGCTCAGGGCAACAATGCACCCCTCCCCTCCCTACAGACCCCCAGTGTTGCCTAGATCAGGGACATCTCGAGGCAAGCCCATTTCATTCCAGACAAAAGAGAACTGCCACCTGCTGGGTGGCAAGCATGGCCACTGCTGTACTACCCTCCTCAGGACCCGAGGGGCTCACTACCCTTATATCTTCTGCTTCATGGGCGGGGAGGCATCAGAGAGGCAGAGTGACTTGCCTGAGGACAGTAAGCAGAGCAGACCGCAAGCGGATGATTCTGACCCTGGGGCCACAGTCTACCTCCTCACGGCAGCCCTGGGCAGCAGGCTTCACCTGCTTCTCAGGACCCACCCATGGGACCCCTAGGCTGAACAGTACCCCCACCTTAGCTGGGCTTGAATGCAGCTCACTGGAGCTGTTGTGGTCCCTTTTAAAGACTTAATTGGCGGGGCCTCCCAGACCTGTCTGGGACCTGTGAGTCTTGGTCTCAGGAGCTGGGCCAGGAATAAGGATCTTAAGATGCCCTGAAGGGGAACCACTTACAAGATTCAGTGATGCCCCCAAGCCCAGTCATGCAGGGAGCCCTGGGGGGCACCTTATCAACCCCCTCCCATGTGCCTGTGGTCCTGGCCCTGATGGACACACAGAGTGCCCCTCCCATCCCAAATGCCCTTAGAATTCCTTGAACTGGGAGCAAGCGACCTGAGAGCCCCGATTGTCCCAGGATCAAGACTGCTCCATCCCAACCCTCCCCAAGCAATCATCCCGCATGGTGGCCTGACAGCCCACCTCTCCAGGCATTTGGTCAACTCCTCAGATGCTGCGACCCCCAGCACACAAGGATCTCTGACTCACACCTTCCCACCCACTCAGCTTGCTCTGGGCTTCTTCTCAGCCTCCCATAGTGGCCTCCAGACACTGCACATTTGTTCTTTCATTAATTTACAGCTACTGTGTGCCATCATTCATTCATTCACTCAGTTACTATGCACCCACATACATCCATTCATTGTTACTCAGGACCCTGGTTCATTTATTCACTCACAAATAGCTACTGTATCCACAACCATCATTCAACAATTCATTCACTCATGCCGAAACCAGTTTGGCTCAGTGGATAGAGCGTCAGCCTGGGGACTGAAAGGTCCCAGGTTCAATTCCACACAAGGGCATGTACCTGGGTTGTGGGCACATCCCCAGTAGGGGGTGTGCAAGAGGCAGCTGATCAGTGTTTCTCTCTCATCGATGTTTCTAACTCTCTATCCCTCTCCCTTCCTCTCTGTAAAATATCAATAAAATAGCCGAGACCGGTTTGGCTCAATGGATAGAGCGTCGGCTTGGGGACTGAAAGGTCCCGGGTTTGATTCCGGTCAAGGGCATGTACCTTGGTTGTGGGCACATCCCCAGTGCGGGGTGTGCAGGAGGCAGCTGATGGATGACTCTCTCTCATCGATGTTTCTAACTCTCTATCTCTCTCCTTTCCTCTCTGTACAAAATCAATAAAATATATATTAAAAAAAATATCAATAAAATATATTAAAAAAAATTCATTCACTCACATAGTCACTATGTGCCCTGATTCATTCATACATTCATTCATTCATTCACAGTTACTGTCTACCTTCTTTCCTTCAAAAAGTTATGGTGTGTCTACAAGGTGCCTCTGCTGACCATAGGGCTTCCTCCAGGGGCTCACCAGCTCAGGGAAGTGAAACAAGAAACCAGTGCTCTTGTGAGGGCTGAGGGGAGGCAGGGTTGAGGGAGTGGGTAGGTAAGGGGGGATCCAAAGGTCAAGTTGAATGGTGAGAACACACATGTACACTCCCACTCACAAACACTAGCATTAATGTTTTTCTCGGTTTCAAAATCCACTAAACTCTATCACGCCGAGACCGGTTTGGCTCAGTGGATAGAGAGTCGGCCTGGGGACTGAAAGGTCCTGAGTTCGATTCCGGCATGTACCTTGGTTGCGGGCACATCCCTGGTGGGGAGTATGCAAGAGGCAGCTGATCGATGATTCTCTCTCTCGATGTTTCTAACTCTCTGTCCCTCTCTCCTTCTCTCTAAAAAATCAATAAAATATATATTTTTCTAAAAATCTACTAAAGCAGCTGATTTTCAGATTTTCAACCAGTGCACCTTTTTTTTTTTTTTTTGTCAGATGGGCAGAAATACATTTTTTTTGTTATGCTGCAGAATTTTACTAATTAGTTTATGTGTGCCATGAGATGAAAAGGTTCGGAAATCACTGCCCTAAAGAATCACTTCTCCCAATCTTCTCCCTGAAAGCCCCACCCTCCTCGGCTTTAATTTCCCCGTGACACAATCAGGACCTTCCAGGCATTCATCAGTGACAGCATCTCCCCATAAGAATGCATGAGAGAACTCCTACAGTGAGCTGATCCCACACAGTGCAGCCCTCCAGGGCTCCCACAGAGATCCCACCACAGGCCCTAAACTTGTCCTAATAACTTGCCATTCAAGTAGACTCCATATAACCCACCCCCTGGGACCCCCTCTTCAGCGTTTTCTGCTGACCACCCTCCATAAGGACCCAGTGCACACATTCCTTGCCCCAGGCACCCCCCCCCCCCCCCCCCGAGATCTGCAGACCTGGATGTGCAGCCTGGCTTCAAAAGACCCTGGGACAGTTAATACACCTCTTCAACCTTCAGTTTCCACCGCTGAGAGATGGAGATAATGGTCTTACTAAACGTGCAGATAATGATCGGGATTATTAGGTCTACCCAAAGACAAATGCCTCCCAGTGTTGACTTAACTTCTGCCCTGGCCTGTTTCTGGAGCTGGAGCTACAAAAGGTGGCCAAAACCACCAAATCTACTTCTCAGGGAGACTAGAATAAAAAGGGGACCAGAAGGGGTGAGACTCGGGGGTCTCCTCTGCACGGGAATGCTAGTGCTGTGGGTCCCCTCATACGCCCAAGGCTTTCCTTATAGGAAGTAGTCCCTGACTCACTTCACCTGTGATCTCCTCGGCACTCCTAGCATCCCTCAGATGGCCCCAATAAAACTTCAGATGTTCCTGACCACACAACTGTTCTGCATCCTTTCTCAAATCTTTTGTACCCCACTCAGACATCCCAATAATAACCCATAACCCGTCTCCTCTCCCCCAATAATTTCAACATTACCCAGTTAGAAAGTCTCATTATCCTCCGGCTCCTTTGACCTCGATAATGGCCCTGTCTCACTCCACGTCATCCAAAGAGCCCGTGTCACTTCAACAATAATCCCCAAACCCCAGAACCCAGAGATCACTGCTGACAATCCCAGTAACCAGCCTGTAACATGGACCACAACCTCCTGGAGCCCTCCAATTCTGCTAGACACCCCCTCCCCGCCCCCAAACGTCTCTCTCATGAGTTCCCGTGACCGCCCCAGACACCCTGTCGGGGATGACGCGCTACCCCGCGACATTCCCAGCCCTGATGTGACCCCCTTGGACAGCTCCCACTGGCCCTACGGCCTCCCTGCGCCCTCTGAATTAGTCCGACACCCCACAAAGTCTATCTCGTACAGGGTATCCCCAGACACGCTGAGGAAAACCCACATGCCACCTCGCGAGATCCACCGTCCCCCAGGCCGCCCTCGGATAGCCCCCGGTGACCCTATGACCTCCCTGCACCCTGCGCCCTCGGGGCCCGGCCAGTCGGCGCTCACCAACGGCGCCAGTGATCGTGGTGCTGGCGTAGGCCTTGCGGTGACAGTCGGTGCCGTCAGGGATGTCCCAGTACCGCCGAATCAGCCGCGCCATGGCTGCGACCCCGAGCCCCGCGCTCCACAGCCGGCTGCACCCAGGGCCAAGGGCAGCCGCCACTCGCTATCGCGAGACTTCCGGAGAGGCGCGCGCAGCACCCCTGGCGGACAGGCCCGCAACAAGCAACGCAACTTTATTGAGTGCCGCGGCCACGGACACGAGCTGCGCGCACGCGCCGAGCTCGGGACAGCCGTAAAGGAAGGGCTCGTGCTCCCCCCGGGAGCTTTCTGGAGGGGAAAGGCGAGGCCAGCCAGGATCAGTGAGGTCAGAGCTCGCTATTTCTAGCTCAGCAGGCCCTAGGTTAGGAATGGTCTGACTCCCGAGGGTGGGATCCACCATAGGGGCCGGACTATCATAGGTGCTAAGATTAGGACGCGGGCGGGACGGGACTGACTTTGACTGGAGCAAGAGGTAATTATGGGGCGGGACGTAGCGAAAATGTGGCCACTTGCTGCGTCAGAATCTGCCTAGGGGCGTGGTCACGCACTGAGGCCCGTCCCCCCGCAGGAATCGGAACCGCGTGCAACTATTTTGGGGCGTGGCCGGGGTCCAGGGCGGGCTTGAGGGGAAAGTGACTGACCCTCGTACTAAGATCTTAGGACATGGCCTGTGCCCAGCTGGCGGCTGGCCCGAGATCTGTGCCGGATGGAGTGCGCAGTACGCTTGGGGACGAGGCGAGGACCAGAGACAGAGCCTGCGGGGGACTGGACCAATCCGGAGCTGTACGATTGCCCAAGGGGCGTGGACGTGCCCAATCCAGTGGTTCTGAGAAGCGCAACCGACGTGGTCAGACTGGCTCAGTCGCGGAATCCGGACCAATCCCGGTGTTACCTTCTGAGCAGAGGAACCAATGGTGTTGCCAGAACCCAAATGGGCCATGCCGCTGGAGAACAGGCCCGGGCCAGGGGCGGAGTTCCGGGGTTCTGGGACCAATCGGGGTCCCTGGGCTTGAGGAGGGCCCTACCCAGTCGGCTGCGGCCAATCGCCCGGTGGTCCCTTGTCGGCCTTTGGGGCGTGGCCCACAGGGGTAGCGCGGGTTTCGGGCGGCCCAGGGGCGTGGCCAGGCCTGGACCGCCGCCGGGGCCATGTCCGCGCCGCCGCCCCTGCAGATCCGCGAGGCGAACGCGCACCTGGTGGCAGTCCACCGGCGCGCCGCGGAGCTGGAGGCGCGGCTGGACGCGGCGGAGCGCACGGTGCGCTCCCAGGCCGAGCGCCTGGCCCGCCACGACGAGCAGCTGCGCGCTGCCCTGGACGAGCTGGGCCGCGCCAAGGACCGGTGAGGCCCGGGGCCCGCCAGGCGAACTTCTAGGAGGTGGGCGGAGGCGGAGCCGAGATCGGAAAGGGAGCGCTGGCAGGGGAACCGAATTCATGCACTGGAGGCTGTGCTACCAGAGGGGTTGAAAAAAGAAACACCAAAAATTTGGATTAGTCATCAGCGTGTAAAGATTTGTCACACAAGTGTGTGGATTTTTAAACTTAAAAGTTTCTCCACAAAGTAAAAACAGCTGGTACTGAATGGTGCGGAGTCCACCGACTTCTTTGAGTAGATTTTGGGAGCCATGGCAGGTTCTGGAACAGAAGAGGATGTGATCTATCAGAAATTTATAATTTCTTTTTTTATTTTTTGGTAATCCGCACCCGAGGATATTTTCCCATTTATTTTTAGAGAGAGTGGAAGGGAAGGGGGAGAGACAGAGAGGAACATCAATGTGAGACATAGCAATTGTTTTTCTCTCGCAGGTGCCCCAATGAGGGCTGGGGCTCCAGCCTGCAACTAAAGTATATGCCCTTGACCTTGACTGGAATTGAACCCCGGACCTGTTAGTCCGCGGGCCAATGCTCAATCCACTGAGCCAAACCACCTATGGCTACCAGAATTTTTTTTTTTTTTTTTTAATATATAATCAATATTTTAAAATAATAAATATTTTTATTGATTTCAGAGAGGAATAGAAACATCAACGATGAGAGAGCATTGATTGGCTGCCTCCTGCACGCCCCCTACTGGGAGTCAAGCCCACAACCCGGGTATATGCCCTTACCCAGAAATGAACCCTAGGACCATTCAGTCCACATGCCCACGCTCTATCCACTGAGCCAAACCAGCTAGGACTATTAGAAGTTTTTGGAGAGTCCCTCTAACCTGAGAATTGGAAGGGATGAGACAAGTGCCCAGGGGGAGATACTGAGGCCCAGGTGAGAAACAATTCAGAGCTGGATTAATTCATCTTTACTAATTAATTCACCTACAATGTGCCAGACACTGTGCTGGGTAGCAGGACACATCTACACAGCTCTGCCCTTAGGCAGACACATCACTAGGCAGTTACAACATGGGGTGATGAGAGGTTGTGAAGGTGCACACTTGGTTCTGAGGGGATCCAGAGGGAATGCTTCCTGGAGGAGGGGCCTACTAAGCTGAACAACAAACAGGAAAAGATGTAGGGAAAGAAAGAACTGCAGGAAGAGCTAAGAGGAGACATGAGTCTGTTCAGCTGGGTGGCTTAAACAATAGGCATTTATCGCTGTTCTTGAGGCTGAGAAGTCCAAGATCAAGGTACTGGCAAATTCAGTTCCTGGTGAGGACTGACTTCTGGTCATCTCATTGTGTCCTCACCGAGGAGAGGGAGAGAGCTGCCTGGTGTCTCTTCTTACAAGAGCACTACTTCCATCATGAGGCTCCCATCCTCATGACCTCATCTAACCTTGGCTTCCAAAGGCCCCCGCCTTCAAATATCACACTGGGATGTAGGGATTCAATTTATGAACTTGGGAAGGACATAGCCATTCAGTCAAGGGGAGGCCGTGAGACAGTGGTGAGGGATAAGTCCTTTATCCTGATGATGGGGAGCCTGAGATCAGAAGGGACAGGAGCATCTCTGGCCCTTCAGTACTGTTACTACCGAGTTCTGTCTTCCTGCCAGCGAGATCGCCGCTCTGCAGGAGCAGCTGCTGACCTCCGAGGCCACTGTCCACAGCCTGCAGGCGGCCGTGCACCAGAGGGACAAGCTCATCAGGCAGCTGCAGCCCCGGGCCGAGCTGCTGCAGGACATATGCCGCCAGCGACCACCCCTGGCTGGGCTGCTGGCAGCCCTTGCTGAGGCCGAGCGCCTGGGTCCCCTACCAGCCAGTGACCCTGGCCATCCACTCTCTGGAGCACCCAGTTTGCTCCTTGCCAATAGCACTGAGGAGGAAGGGGACAGAGACCACCTCCAGCCAGCAGTGTTTGGGACCACTGTGTGAGCCCCAGAGCACAGATACCAGAATGGAGACAGAGGGTCTTGTGGAGACTTTTTCCACTGCTGTGGGGGTACTCAAGGGTGGGGTGTCACCAGTGTCCCAGGGGAAACCAACCCCATGGTAGAGCCATAATACTTTCCAAGCATCAGAAAAAGTCAAATGCTCAGCCTGCAGGCAAATGAAAATGTTTAGTCCAAATCTTAAAAACAAAATTTGAATCACTTATCCTTGTTGAAAAATTGGCAACATTTATACACAAAAACCTGGATTTCTGGCTTCAGATTTGGCCATGCCTGCCTGGAACTGAACCCATAAGTCTCTTTAGCCAGTGTGAGTTTTTTAATTAGCCCCTTCACTTCTCTTAGGGCCAGATGTCCGGGCCCCAAAGCATGAGTTTGAGACCTCTCTCTAGTGGAGGCAGATGGCATCAAGTTCCAGATTATTAGATTATTTCTTCCCCCCCTTTCCCCCCCTCCAGATTTTCTTTCATCCTGAAGCATTGTCACACGATAGAGCTTTTTCTTACTCCATCCCAAACCAGAATTATTTTTATTATTTCTCAACCCAAGGACACACCTATTGATGTTCTAGAGAGGAAGGGAGACAGCAAAATATTGATATGAGAAAAACATCCAACGGTTTTCCTGTATGCACTCTGATGGGATTGAACCCACAACCTCGGTCTGTGCTGAGGGGAATTAAGCCTGCAACTTTTTGGTGCATGGGACAAGGCTCTAGTTGAGCCATATTGCCCCCAGACTAGAATTAAGAGCTTCAAGCTTCATGCTGTTTTGCATTAATTATTTTGAAGACAAATCCTAGACATTTCCCCCCTAACTCTGTCCTTCCCTCAACCTTTAACTCAAGGCAGTGTGAGTAGGGCACGGGAGATGCTGGCAGCCAGGCTGTGCTGTCCTGAAAAACGTACGCCTCCCTTAACCTTTTCTTGATAATGTGCTGCCTCAAGGCCTTTACACTGGCTGCTCCCTCTGTCTAGAATGCTCTTCCCCAGGAGAATGCTCTTCCCCAGGTGTCACATGATGGGTTCCTTGTCACGCGGGTCTTTGCTCAAATTTCAATTCAGAAAGGCCTCTCACTACCTGAAGTAATTCCTCCCCACCCCCTGCCATTACCATTGCATTTCTTTTTTCTTTAAAAATATATTTTATTGATTTCAGAGAGGAAGGAAGAGGGAGAAACATCAATGATGAGAGAATCATTGATCAGTTGCCTCCTGCACACTATGAGGGATCGAGCTGGAAGCCTGGGCTTGTGCCCTTGACTGGAATCGAACCCAGACCCTTTAGTCTGCAGGCCGAGCCTCTATCCAGAGCCAAGCCTGCCAGGGCTATTTTTTTGTTTTGTTATAGCTCTTACCACCAGAGTGTGAGCTGCATGAAGGCAGAGCCTGTTCTACACCGATACTCCTGTAGGAACAGGTTGGGTCTGTGGGCCCTGAAGGGAGTTGAGGGTTTCCAGCACTTCAGATAAAACCCCTCCAGTCTAGCTTTTGTAGTAAGCAGCTGGTTCCTATTTTATAGTCGCTAAAGAATCTATTTTTTAACTCCTTTTTCTACACTGCGCTCTTGGCCAGAGCCATTCAGGGAGTGTTGCTTATCAAACCAGGTAACCTTGTGCTCTCAGCCCAGCCAGGGCTGTTTCCCACCTCCTTACTCAGGAAACTATCATACCGGGAACTGTTGTGGGGCAGGGCCTATTCCAGCTAGAAAGGTTGGCACCCATCCCGTCCTCAGGATGGTGCCCGTTGTCTGCCTGGCACCTAACACTGACCCCTCAGTATATAACAATATCCCCATTTTCTCCTCTGGATGAATAAGAAAGGGGGCTGTTTATATTAGGGAAGGCAGGCTGGGGCCTGTGTGAGCTCAAGAATAAATAGGGTGGTTTGTCAGCCTGGTCCGTCCTCATTTTTTCCAGGTGTGGGGGGCTGGAGAGGTGGCCATTGTGTGGTTCCTGGTCTAGGTTGGGGCCCTGCTGGGTGAGGGCTTGTTTCAGTCACAGGAGCTTGTACCACAGGCGCTTTACACACACAACTATGTCTAATCTTTGTTTGCAGCTGCCTGTGGACACAGGCTGCCCCATTTCACAGCTGGGAGACTAAAGGTGAAGTGAAAAGGCCTCTGGGTCAGGAGGGCCTGGACCCCTACCTATTTTTGGAAGTTATTGTTGAAATTCTGATTTTCTCTTACAGATGTCAAACAGAGGTACACTAATTGTGGTTAGATTTTACATTTTCCATAGGGAAAAAACTGATGCAACACACTAAAAAACACAATGCGATATTTCTTTGACTGCCCAAAGAATGCTGGACTGCAGCGAGCCAGTGAGCTGTGACATCAGCTGTGGCTTGAATTGCAGCGTTGGGTCAGGAATTCCTAACCACACACCACTGTGCTGAGTGCAAGGCCTGGAGGTCCCCAAAGGGGGGGTGGGGCGCACATTTTTTGGTTAATCCCATCTTTGAGGCTATTTTTTCCATTGAATTTTTTTTTCCTTTTTTTAGAGGGGGGGGGGGGGAGAAGCATCGATGTAAGAGACACATTGATTGGTTGCCCCCTGCACATGCCCCAACTGGGGCCAGGATGGAACCTGCAACCCAGGCATGTGCCCTTGACAGGTAACTGAACCCATGACCTTCGTTTCGTGGGCTGACTCTAACCACAGAGCCACACTAGCCAGGGCGAGGGCCCACATTTTAAGTCCTTGGGAGTCCCAACGTCCTTTTGGATCCTGCTGGTCGGTGTCATGCTCTGTTGGCAACGATGTCCAAAATCTGGATTGAAGACCTTCTGTGATGGTGGCCTTGGTTCCTCTTGGATTATGTCAGGTCAGGACCATTTCTCTATTTGGTACCGCAGCCTCCTGGCTCACCAGCTTGTCCACGAGCAAGCCCACCAAGTGATGTTTGAGAACTGAAAACCAACCACCTAAAGACCCATACAGCAAAAAACACCATGACTGACCCCTTAATAACTACCAGGAACTGCTTTGTCCAATTTAACTGCTGGGTCCTGGCTCAGCGAGCACTGGTCTCAGGACCTCCCATTGGACATGGGTTGGGCCACCACCAGTGCTTTTAAGCTCAAATCCCTCAGCAGCTTTGGCTGCTGCCCTGTGAAAGGGATGGGGACAGTATAGTCCAGAGAGGAGAGGGGCTCTGCTTCAGGTCACATAGGAATTGGGCCTTCAGCCTCCCTCCCTCCAGGACATGGTGGTCCTTGCAGGCCTGTGGCCTGCCCCTCATTGTGGTCAGAAAGACTCCACCTCCCACCCTGGTCTGGGCCTGGCTCTACCCCAGGCCTGAGCATTGCAGGGCAGGGAGTGAGCAGCACAATGGGTGGATGGGGCTGCTAATGAACCAGCACTGCTGTTCCTCCTGGTCCTGCCATTCGGCACAGTCAGGGTTACAGCTGGGGCCCCTCCCAGTCTCCAGAGCCACTGTCCCTTAGCAACAATCCTGGGCAGAACACACTGCCAACACAGGACAAACCAGGCAGGAGCCAGTGGAGTGGCCATCTGAGGACTTCAGGACAGACAAGGCCAGGTGAGTGAGTAGGGGGCACCCAGCTTGTAGCCTGGCCAGCCGAGCAGGAAACCCCCTTGACCTCTATCTCATCCAGCTGCCCAGAGAGCCTGAACCTAACATGGATACGGTGGACGCCACTGTGAAGAGGCTCCGGGAACAGTGCCTGTCCCGAGGGGCCTCTGGCATCCAGGGTCTTGCCAGGTGAGCTGTCCCCGCACCTGTTCCTGACCACTTGGCCCCAGGGAGATCACTCTTCAACTGCGACCCTTGCCTCTAGGTTTTTCCGCCGCTTGGACCGGGACAGGAGCCGATCCCTGGATGCGAGGGAGCTTCAGCAGGGCTTGGCTGAGCTGGGGCTGGCGCTGGACATGGCTGAGGCAGAGGGTGTGTGCAGGCGATGGGACCGTGACGGCAGCGGGACGCTGGACCTGGAGGAGTTCCTGAGGGCACTCCGTGTAAGGCTGGCTGACGGGGCAAGTCCCTTCACCCACCTGTCTGGCAAGGAGGATGGGGGGAGGGGTGTGCTAACTCTCAGTGGGGTTACCTGTGTCAGCAGACACCAGACACCCAGTAATTCATCACTACGAGACTCAGGGATCCCCTGCGCTCCGCACTCTATGCCTAGAGGGGTTGGGGTCTCTTAGTCATCACTCTTCCTCTTTCAGCCCCCCATGTCCCAGGCCCGGGAGGCGGTCATTGCAGCTGCATTCTCCAAGCTGGACCGCAGTGGAGATGGTGTGGTGACCGTGGATGACCTTCGGGGGGTGTATAGCTGCCACGCTCACCCCAAGGTGCAAAGCGGGGAGTGGACTGAGGAGGAGGTGCTCCGCCGCTTCCTGGACAACTTTGATTCCTCTGAGAAGGACGGGCAGGTAGGTGATGCCTATGGGGTCTCCCCAGCTCCTCCTGCCCTAGATTTCCATTCCTACTTAAGAGCCCGTCTGCCCCCAGGTCACCCTGGCTGAGTTCCAGGACTACTACAGTGGTGTGAGTGCCTCCATGGACACGGATGAGGAGTTTGTGGCCATGATGACCAGCGCCTGGCGACTGTGAGCAGCATGCACTCAGCTGGCCCCACTGTAGCATAGGACTCCACCAGGGCACCAGGGCACCCCGTGAGCTTCCAGCTGGGCAGCTCCAGGGGTGGGGGCTATAGGGGAGCAGGAGGATTAAGGCTGCAGAACTGGTTGGACCAGGTCTGAGGCCCTTGATTGGCCAACGGGCCAAAGTGGGACAAAGCCTCCCTCCTCCTCCCCCATGAGGCCACTGCAGATGCCCACCCCACCCCTCACCCCGTTCTGCTCAGTTAATCCTTGACTCTTAGAATTCCCACCCTGCCCCTCCCTCATGGTTCCTGGGAGGCCAGGAGGCCCTGGATGTGATAAGGGTGTGGGGAGGGCAGCAAATGGCTCTTCTGTGAAGCCAGGCTCTGTACTGAGATCCAGTGACTTTTCAGAGTGTGGGGCAGGGGCCCAGGGCAGCAGGCAGGCCAGGCTGCTGGAGGAGCCTTACCTTGGGAGGCAGAAGTCATTCCTGGCCAGGGCCTCGGGCTTCCTGAGGCCCCTGGGGCACACAGGAGGCCAGGGCTTTAGTTAAAAGTTTTAATGTAGTTCCCAAATACATTTCATATGACAATCTTACATAAATGTTCCAAAACACATGGGCATTATCTGGTTTTACTTGTCACTAGTTGGCTAAGGCTTAAAGCAGAGAAATGTAGCCAGATCTGCTGGGGGTCGGAAGAGGGGTGGTGAGGGAAGGGCTTTGGTGTCTTCCCATGGCTTAGGCTCAAGCTGCAAAGTCAACCCAAGGTGTGGGTGGCACAGCTATGGAGACCAAGCCTTCTCCCTCCCACTGAGTGGGCTGGGTAATTTCTCCTAAAATCCCCTGGGGCCCTGTGAGTAGGGACTTTTTGCAAGGGGGGCAGTGCCCAGCTGGGATCTTGGCCTTCTCTGGGGTGGGCATAGCACCCGCTCCCATGTGTGCTGCAAGTGTTGGGACAGCAGCCTATAGTCTGGAACCAGTCCCCCGCCACTCCTCAGAGGCCCTGCGAAGGACCCCCCCATCTGCCTGTTATTGAGGCCCCTGACCCTGGATGGTCTTGGGGGCGGTGACATCCAGGGCTGGGCAAGGAATGGCCAACAGCAGAAAGCAAGTGTGTACCTGGGTGTCTGATGATGGGTGACACACATGATGGGGACAAGCAAGAGGGGAGGGGTGCTATGCACACCCCCTTCTTTGTCAGCTACTGTGGGAAGCAGTGGCCTCACTGTCAAGTCCCCACTCTGGAAGGCACCTCATCCAGTGGGGCCAGGCCTCCACACCAAGACATCACCCTCTAGGCAACGGGACTGGGTGAGAGGGGACCTTAGAAACCAGCCCCCTTGTACCCTCCTAGATCCAGTGACCCTTTCCTAGATAAGCTCTCTCTAGTTGTGAGGCCTAGCCATCAACACTCCTTCATAGCTTGGAGGAGCCCCAGGTGGAGAACAAGTGGGAGCCTTCAAGCACCTCAAGCTCCCAGTAAGGCCCCTACGCACAAGCCATGGCCATAGGGAGGACGAGGACGTTGGAACTGTGCCTGCTCAACACACAGGAGCATCTTAATCTAAGAAACCAAAAGCAAAGACTTGGGGAAAGAAACCTAAAAACATATACCCCAAGTCAGAAGGTGGGGAAGGGGAGATAAAGATAGTAGCAGAATATCCAGCAGGGCCAGTGTTTAACTTGTGGGAGCAGACCTGGTAGCCTGGGCAGGTGGCAGGAACCCACGGGTATGGAGGCGGCATGAGAGAGGTGAAGAAACCAGGCATCCCAGTCCCAGTGAGAAGCCGTGACAAGTCTTAATGTGCCATTTCAATTCAAAGGAGGGAGGGAAGAAATGTTCTTTTTGTTTTGCTCATCAATATGATGAGGTCTCGTGTCCCAAACCACATTCAAGCAGTTCCCAAGTCTGCTTCTGAACGGGCCTTGCGGATCCGGACTGTGGCCAACCCGGTGGGGAGTGTGGTTCCCGGGGCCCCGCACCTCCACAAAGCCGGAGAGGGGCGGGCGGGTGGGTGGACAGACGGACAAAGCAGCAGGCTCCCGGGTGGCCAGCTCCCGGCGCTATGTGCTCCCAGCTGTCTGCCCGTCCCCTTCGTTGTCAGCGCCTGTGGGAAGCAGTGGCCTCGCCATCAGGTCCCCGCTCTGGAAGGCACCCCAGCCCCCGGGGTCAGGCTTCCACACCAAGATGTCACCCTCAGGCCAACGGCAATGGATGAGAGGGGATCTAGGAAACCAGCCCCCTTGCGCCCTCCAGGGCAGGGACTGCTGGCTCACCGCCTCCTGTGGCCCCTGACGGAGCTAGGACGTCGTCATCGTCACTGTCATCCTCATTGGATGGGGCCACCCCAGGCTCGGGGGCAGGTGTTCTGGTCTCCTGTTCCTGCTCCACGCGGCTGCGCAAGGCCAGGATGCGGTGGTGCAGAGCGGCATATAGCTGGCCTGTGTCCTTGGAGCTGGCCTGGGGGAGGCAGAGGAAATCCTGATTATGAGGCTTCATGGGGAAACAGCTCCTTGGACTCTCCTCAACCTGGGACCCAGACCAAAGCTCCCACAGCCCGGGGCCCACCCCTCCAAATGCTCCCAGAGCCTGTGGCTGGGCCAGCCCTCAAGTGACAGTGGCATTCCTGCCTCTCACTTTGGGGATGGGTCCCCCTTAGAGGCTTCCTTGCTCTCTAAGGCGATGCTCTCAGAGCAGTGCTGAGTGCTCCCCACAGCCGTGTGGTGACTGCCAGCACGTGCCAAGAAACTTCCCTCTTGTGGCAGCTCGAGGTTGCTAGGGGAGGGGACCTGTTTGGGTTCAGGCAGCCCAGCCTGTCCGGGTGGCTGCTCACCGAGATCAGGAAGACCTTCACGCCCTGGTCCTCGGTATCCATGGCTGTGATGCGAATGCTCTTCTCACTGGCCTTGTCAATCTGCATCTGGGCCCACAGCTTGGTGTTGAGGATCAGTCGCAAGCTACCCTGGGTCCGCATCACTGCAACCAACAAGGCCACTCAGCCCTGGTCCCCACCCCCAGCCCAACAACCAGCTAGAACAGATACAACCTGGAAGGAAAGCATACCCAAACGGTGAAATCCCATAACTCTCCCAAGGTCCACAAAAGTTGTCCACCTGTCCACTGAGCAATAGCCACACATGTTGGGGCTGGCCTGGCACCACCACCTGGCTTTCTGGGCCCAGAACCACCAACGCCACTGGCAGTGTCAGAGGCCACATGTAAGTGAATTTTGTCGGTCCACACACCATGGGGGCCTTCCTTGGGGAAATGGGTGATTAGGTGGAAGCAGAACTGTAGGGAGGTGGGGCCAGATAGGGGCATTTGTGGGCTGCACAATGGGGACACTCACACTTTATTTTTTAGTTTCAATTAATTGTTTTAATCCCACCAACAATAAACTTTGAAAACAAAAGCACTTTTACATCTTTAATTAGGTATGCTTTCCATCTGTGGTCTCCAAGTTTCTGCTTCTCGATTTAACTTTGTTCTCTGCCCCCGCCGCTCACCCCTCCCTACTCTGCAAGGCCCTTCAGGTTCCGTGGCCACCTCTGCCCCGTGGCACTGTGGGCCTGGCCCAGCGCTCCCTGAGGTTCACACAGTGGTGGGCTTCCTGGAGGGGCTCTTGGGTCTCACTCCTGACCCACCCCCTGAACAATCTTGCCCCAGGCAGGTGCAGAGTTGAAGAGAAGAACTAGGGAGGCCCTTTCTGTTTACCTTTTATGGCTAAAATAACAACTTAGCCAAGAAGAGACTTCATGAAGAAGCTTAGTGAAATCGACACACGTGTCACATAAAAGTCAACACCGCTTCACTGTCCCCCACTCACAGGCCAAGTCCCTGAGGTTTTCTTAGAAAAAGGATTGAGGCTAGCTTGTGCTCAGAGCTTCCAACAGGAAGGAGGTAAAGACAGACTGAAGGAAGCATATGGCAAAGAAAAACTGGGCACAGACCTTTCCTCTCTGGATGTACCTGCAGCAGACCCAATGCCACAGTCAGCCTGCCCAATTTGTCAGAGCGCACCCAGCCAGCCTTGCTCTCCCATTAAACAGGCCTGGTGAGGATTAAAAGGTGTCATCCCATCCAGATGGTCACACAGGATGGGGAGCGGCTTGGGCCGACTTGGGGAGGCCTGTGGGGTCCCTGTGTCCTCTAAGCCCGACCTCACAAGCCCAAAGGGCCCATCTTTGAGGCAGTGGAGCAGTTCAGATGGGCTCAGAGGGAAGGTTTGTGACAAGGTAAAAGGCTGTGTGGGGTGAAAGTAAGGTCCTGGGATGGAACGCAATGAGGGAGGGGAGGGCGTAATGTAACCATGCTGCTGCCTGAGGAGGTGGGTGATGAGCTGTGGGGCTGAAAATACTGTGTTCTCTCTGTCCACATACATTTGAACATTTCCCTAAGAAAAAATGAAAAAGGAAGGGAGGGGACGTGCATGGGAGAAAAAGAATGGTGCCCCAATAGAAGGGCCCTTTTCATCCCTGTTCCAATCTCTGAGACAATTCTGAAAGAATGCAACATAAGCTACTACTGGGTCATGAATAGCTGTTTCTGTAAAGGCTGGAGGACAATTTTTGTTTGGGAAGAAAACAACAAAAAAAGCGAACACACATATTTCACAACATAGACAAATGAATATGCTGATTCTCTTCAAACATGCATATATGTATATATACCCCCGCAACCCAATTTTGTAATCAACATACTTCTGGGAATAAGATTCAAGTGTAGACAGTCCAGGACCATCATTTATGATACTCAGAAAAATTATGGACAAACTACATGTCCATAATATGGAAATGGTGACATACATTCATTTTTCAACAGAATATATTAGTTTTCCCAAAGTCATGTTTTTAAGGAAAATTTAATGACACAGGAACATACTCACAAAATAGTGAGTGAAAATAACCGAATATAAAATTGACCCATTTCCTTAAGAAAAAAAACACAGAACAGGAGTGGACCAACATGTTATTAGCAGAGATTTCTCTTTATCAGGAGACTAGTTGATTTTTTCTTTTTCCATCCTACCATAAAACAACAGACACTTTCATGATCAGAAGACAAGTTTAAAAATTGCTAAATACTTTTATCCCACTTTCACATTCAGAAAGAGGGAAGTCATGGAAGTCTGGCAGCTGGATCCTCCGGGTCAGGCCTCAGGGTGTGGGTCCCTGGGCTCTTCCGTGAGGACCTGCTACCCTGCTCCTTGGGGCAAGGGGTCAAGTTGGGACCTTGCCCTTTACTGCTTGGGAATGCTGCACCAATCCAGGCCCTCCCACAGCTCACCTAGTCGGGACTGTAATGTCCCATCGTCAGCCGAAGCCATGTCGTTGAGTCTCAGCAGTCCCCGGCCTCTCTCCACCCAAGACTGCGAGGTCTTGTCAAAGACAAACAGCTTACACTGGATCTGGAACACAGGGCAGCCCTCTGGGTGAGCAAGGGACCCTAGCTGGGTAGATACCACTAGAGGGGGTATCTACAGAAGTCTCCATTTAATTCTCATGTACTACCAGGGTCAACAAACTACGGGCCCATATCCGACCATTGGACAGTTTTCTGTTCTGCCTTCAAACTAAAGTGGATTTTATACTTTTAGAGGTATATTTAAAAAATTAAGGAAATGAAAGTCAAAACCACGAGACATCACTTCACATCCACTAGGATGGCTACAACCAAAAGGACAGATAATAGGCGCTGGAGAGGATGTGGCATCCCTGTTGGCATCTGAAGCCTCATACAGTTCCTCAAAATGCTAAAAATGGCCCTGGGCAATGTGGCTCAGTTAGCTGGAACATCATTCTATACACTGAACAGTCACAGGTTCGATTCCTGGTCAGGGCTAGGTTGAAGGTCTGATCCCCAGTTGGAGTGTGTGTAGAAGGCAACCTTCTTTCTCACATCAATGTTTCTCTCTCTTCCTTCCCTTCTTTCTCTCTAAATAAGTAAACAAATAAATAAACAAATAAATAAAATACAAATAAAATAAATGAAAAACTTCCTTGGGTGAAGATTAAAAAAAAGTTGCCCTGGCTAGTGTGGCTCAGTTGGTTGTTATCCCATGCACTGAGAAGTTGCTCATTCTATTCCCCATCAGGCACATGCCTAGGTTGCGGGCTTGATCCCCAGTAGGGGGCATGTAGGAGGCAGCCAATGGATGGTTCTCTCTCATTAATGTTTCTCTCATATTTAAAACAATAGGAAAAAAGTTAAACATGAAGTGACTACATGGCCCAGCAATGCCTCTTCTAAGTATCCACCCAAGAGAAGTGAGATAGGTTTCCACACAAGAACTTGCTCACAAATGTTCACAGCAGCAGAATTCTATAATACTTAAAAAGTGGAAACAACCCAAATGTCCATCAACACAAGGGAATATTATTGAGCTATGAAAAGGAGTGAAGCACTGACACACTATAACACGGATGGACCTTGAATACATGCTTGGAGAATGTGGGTTGACCCCTGGGGGGCTGGACCCTCAAGTGCACAAAGAAGCTCCGGGCCTTCACAATTCCACCTAAGTGCCAAGAGGCCCACCTTACCTGTAACACGTTGCTCTCTGCTTCCTCCCCGGTGATGACTTCCACTTTTTCCAACAAACACTTCCTCGCTGTTGCCTTAGTGTAGGCGGCTGCCGATTCGGCCAGGGACTCTGCAATGTTATTAGCTAAACGACATTGACTATTTACTTGGTGGGGGACAGTGTACTGCACAGGAGACAAAAGGGCTGGCTTGGTTTCAAGGGTACCAGCTACCCATGGGACATGGAGTGGACCCCAAAATATGCCAAGTAGTCAGCCTTGGGATCTGTAAGGCAGGCCAGCTGGACGCTGCGGGCATGGCTCTGGGTTTCCCATTTCCCATTCAGTAGGGGACAGACCTCAAAGAGGGCACTGAAGAAAAACTCCCTTTGCTGTTCAGGGTGTGAAGGGAGAGGGCTACAACCACCTCTACCACCCTACCCCCAAGTCACCATTCAGCACCATGGGCCTGTGCCTATTTATAGATGAACATGTCTCCTTTCTGTTCACTGAAAACCAGTGCCTCTAGCTTTCTGGCTCTGTCCCAGTGGCTGGTTCATGAGGTTATTATTGGTGTGCTGAGTTGAACCCTACATCCCTCCCAGGCTGAAGTGTGGATGTACAGTGTCCTGTCACTTGGTACCCTCTCCTATGAGGCAATTGGATTGCGACATACCTTTCTCAGGGGTGGCTTCCTGGGATGAAGACTCAGACCCAGACTCGACAGTTGAGTTCTCCCTGTTGGCATCTGAAGTGACCTCATTTAATTTGGGTGGGCTCTGCAGGGAAACAAAGGCATGTGGGAAAGGCATCAGGCCGATCCTGGCGGGTCAACCACTATGGAACTGTAAGTCTCTTGGCCGGGCAGTAGCTCTCGGAACTTCCCTGCTGGGCAGAGGGCTATTTTCTGCCTACAGCTTCTCCTCGCAGCTTTGGGGACACTCCCAGACCTGCAGACAGACCTACATAGCCCTTCCCCATGGGCTATATCCCAGCCATACTCCCCACAACAATCTTCAAGCATCATTTGGTGTTAAAACCTAACACAAAGGGGCATCATGCATGAACTGCCCTTGGAGCCCCCAATGGGGCCTCTCATGGCATTGCTGGGAGGCGTGTGCCACCAGCTGACATTACTTTGGGCTGCAGAGTTCACTTTGTCTGTGTGACTATTTCATTAACACTCGAGAAAAGCAGAGGGCTCTTTAATGTAATGCAGACCGAGACAGACATGGTCAGAATTGGTTGGACCTAAAACAGCTCTATAGCCGCACTGACAATGGACATAGAGGGGCTGTGCCCATTTGATCTTGGGGGAAGGGATGAAGTAAGGAAGCATGTAAAACAATTCCAGAACCCAATCCTGGCTGTGATGTGTTGGGAGTACATGGGACACACAGGCCCTGAGGCCACCACACCTGTCCCCTCCTTTGCAGGTGGGAGGACCATCGTTGGTTCAGAAGTGGCTCAGGGGGGCCCCAGCAGCGTGCAGCTAAGGACTGGTCTGATGGCTGTACCTGTGGCCAGCCTTTGCCGGGAGAGCATGGCCTGTGCCTCAGGAAACCTGTCTTAGGATGAGGAAAGACTGGAAATGAAACACTGGCTCCTAGAGAGCAGATAACCCTGCTCATGACTTAGTAAACTGAATCTTTTTTCTCTTACTTACAACTGAAATCATCCTAATTTTCCAAGAGACAATGCGGCAGCAACACTCACATTCCTTTGATTTGGGCTGAGCTCTAAAAACCTGGGCCCCAGGAAGAACAGTCCCCATAGGGGCCACTCACCAGTACGCGCTCGCTCATGTTCTGGCCAAATACAAATTTGTTGCTGCTGGCATCGGCACTATTGGTCGAGTTCTCTAAACTGAAAAGAAGATGGACTGTGAATTCAGGGGCAGAACCTGGTGGGTAACAAGAGGCAGCTAAGTTGCCACTGGCCCACTGGGTTCTGTTCTGGGCACAAAGTCCTAGTGATAGAGGTCACCCTGAGAGCTGGGCTGGACAACCCCATAGAACTCAGGTCCTGCCTCAATTGTCCATCAGAGTTCACTGTCCTGGCTCCTCCACAGCTGGACCAAGTGGGAAAGAAGGAAGGGACTAGGGGGCAACTGGAATTCTGGAGGATTCTGCTCCCTCCCCTCCATCCTGCCCCCTAGGGAAGGATCAGAGACAAGGTGGATGAATGACCTGAGCACTTCTGAGGCTGGACACAGGGCCTGGCACACATACCTGGAGCTGATATATTGAAGAAAATAGTTGGTCGCGGTTGGCGTTTCTGAACTGGGGTGTCCAGCATTTTCCATGTCAGCTGCTTCAGTGTTTTCATTTATTAACTGGGAAATAGAGACACTATACTCAGAGAACACCACATTCTGGACCTCTACAGGTTGGCCTGGTTGCACAATCCTCCACCGTGTGGCACAGCTCAACGTGCAAATCCTATCAATGTGCATGCAGGCGTTTGTGTGTGAGCACTGGGTGCTGGTGCTATAATCAATTCCAGAATCTTTTGCTTCTAACAGTTAAGGTACAAAAAAAATTCATAAAGTGTTAACGAACTTTTTCTACCTTGTTTAAAAAAAAAATGCACTTAGGTTGGCATCTTGTTAGTATTTTCATCAACACTTCTGTTCTGAGATCACAGAACACTTATAAATCTGGTGTTTTAAGGGGTTTATTAAGAACATAAGCACTGTTGTTTGAGGGCTTCATTAATGCCAGCTGCCTTGTCTGCTCCATCACAGATGTGACCTAATGCACCTTATTCTCAGAAGAGCTAGGAGACCACGGCCTGGAGTCACCCTCTGTAGAGGAGGTGGGATGTGACCAAGACCTCAGAGATCACATGAGCTCTGGATCTCTAGGAGACACTGCCCCCGTCCTCATGACAAGGCAGCATTGCCCTAACTTGAGGAGCAGACTCAACTAGACCCTGCCCCCAGGGCTGGTAGATTTCAAGGCTGTTCCTTCACCTTCCTCTTCCTAGAGGGAGCAGTCCCCAAGGAATGTATTATTTTAGCTGAAGTCATGCGACATCAACACTTATTTTTGTCTCCTGGGGCATCTGTGCTTCTCTTGGACAGTGACACCACAGGAGAATATAAATGGCATGTTTTCTATGTGATGACTTTTGTTTCCTTATTTCTGAGTCTCTCACCCTCAGCATCATTGGCATTAGGGCTGGATCGTCCTGGGCACTGTGGGGTGTTGATCAGCATCCCTAACCCCTACCCACTCGATGCCAAGAGTACCTACCCCCTAGTGTGACAATCACAGAAGTCCCCAGATATGGCCACTGACACTGCCTCTCATTCCTCTAAAGGAGAATCCTACCAGGTGAGCTGCTGGAAATGGCAAAGAACATTCCATATCTGTGCCTGATAAACGCAGTGCTGCTCACTCTAATCTTTCTGGAGTGCTAGCACACAGCGTGCAGAGCCGAGACCCCTGCCACTGCCAGATGCCCCATCCCAGCTCAGTCCCCAGACTGGACCCACCTGCCTGGGGGCAGTCAGAAGGTGGCAGATACTGATGCTCCTGTGGGAGAGAAAACAATCTTTCCACCTGCCCTACTTTTGAAAATAAGGTGATGGTTCTGTTGGGAGCAATCTGGTCCTGTGGGGAACATTCAGCACTATTTGGGGACATGTGTGGTTGTCACAACTGAGAAGATATACTCCTGGTATCTAGAGGGTGGGGACCAAGGATGCTGCTCAACAAACCACAGTGGTGAGCAGGTCAGGTCTCCAACAACTAAACACAATCCAGTCTGAATGCTACTAGAATTGAGATTAAAAAACCCTGAAGAAAAAACCTCACACTGGCTGTCTGTCCCCTGTAGCCAGGAGCCACCTCTTAGTCCCACTGAGGATGGAGGGGTGGCAGGCAGTCTGGGTGGCTGAGCAGAGTATGGGAAACATGCACAACAAGCAGCTGCCGGCTGTGCCAAGAGTCACAGGACCACTTCACAGCATAGCCTCTGTGTGTGCCCCACCCTTCAGAAGCAATTTCTGTTCTGGAACCTGGGAGGCATACAAAGATCAACCCCTGAGTTCAATGGCTCACCCAGCCCTCTGAGCACATACCTTAACTCTGTCCCTCAAGTTCTGCCCAAATACAAATGCTTGCTGTGCAACTTGCTCTTTTTTCTCACAGCTGTCCTCCTCAGAAGTACTGCTAGACTCATTTTTCTGGGGCTCTTTCTCCTAGTTAAACAGAACAACGACAACTGAAAAGAAGGGACACATTAGCTCTGATGAGCAAGCTGAATCACCTTATAGCATAATTGCATGTCCCTTGACGAGGATCCCTGGGCTGAGGAACATTTGAGGAGGTGCTAGAACCAATCGGAAGAGTGAGGTAGGCAGAGCCTGGGACTGGATGGGGCAAACTCTCCGTAGCCAGGAACATGGGTAGGACAGGACAGTGGGGTCACTTTTGGGTCTCCCTCTGGTGCAGAACTGTGCAGCTGACTGCCCTGAGGCCCAGCTACCAAAGTTTCCATGAAGCATATATTACAAAAACAATTTCTATTTCCAATTCCATTAACTGGTTTGAAGGTGGGGAGACCTCATAGATGTTTCAAAATAGAATTGTAGATGATCATTTTCACCATTTGAGCCTGAACATTTATGGGGGGTGAGGGTGAGGGAGGCAAAGGATAGAAAATCTCTGGCAGCAACTTATCTGCTGAAGTGGCCGAGGGCAAAGGCACACAGACGCAGTCTGGCTTGCGTCTGAGGCACAGTGCAGTATTGCAATTTGGATTCCAAATTTGTCTCCGCCAACCCCAAGAGCAGGTGCTTCATGAAATGCCTGTTTCCCAGCTGCTCTGTAGCACTACTGGAAAACAGATGCTTCTGGCCTATATAATTCCAGAACCACAAAGGATGTCTTTTAAAAACAAACAATTTCTGAGCTGACTCCCCAGGCATTTAAAAGAGCACACGTGTATAAATCCCCAGAGTCGCTGGGGTGTGGAAACAGGGAGGGAAGACATTTGTCCCCACAAAATGGTGCAAGGATCTCATTAATGAAAGTCATCCCTCCAGTTCCAGTGGCTCCCCAGGGCTCAAAGGTTAGTGTGCCAACTGGCAGAAACGCTGCCCCAGGACATGTGGAAATGACATGCTGGATTCGGGCAACACAGGACTCTATAGCAGAGCTTTGCTCACAGCATCTCTCTCTCAGAACCATGAAGACACCCCTCCCCTCTCTTGGTGTTTGTCAGCACTAATACTGCTGAGCAAATCTAGAAAGCTTGAACACAAAACAAACTGATATTGCTCAGAGCAGGTAACAGTCTATGTGCTCAGCAAAGCCTAAGAAGTCTCCTGTGAGGTGTGGTTCCTGCCCTGGCACAGACGGACCTCAGGTGCTGGCGCCTCGTCAGGTGGACTTCTCTGTGTGGGGTTGTCGAGTGATGTCGATGTCGCTGTTCCTGTGCAGTCTGCTGGGATACTGAGCCCATTGGTGCTGCTGCTTGGAACTGTGGGGACAAACGGACAGTGAGAATTGTGGAGTCAGTGCTAGACCACCTCCAGTGCTTTCTTCTGTCGCCATTTGGACCAACAGTATACAATTTCTCCTTTTATAAGAAAGGGTCTAGTGTCACTACTAAAAGCAACCAACTCTTAGATTAAAAGAATATTGGGGGAACAATTATGAGTTTTACAAAACAAGTTTTACAAATGATATCTTTATTCTATGCATTTTTTCCTTTAAATAGCTGAGATTACATGACACGCACAACTTTAAATCTAGTTTTGACTGTTGAGCATTACGTAAAAAACTTCCCATGTAATTAAAAACTCTTCAGAAATATTAACTATTTTCCTCATGTGGGATGTTGCGTGGCTTTTGATGAAGAGTTCTCGAATTATAGGGAAAGATCAAGAGGAAGACAAGAGCTCATTCACATGAAGAAAATTAAGGATTAACCTAAAACCAATGTCTATGTGGATGTAATGAAAATATGGTTTAAGAGTCGTGTCTCAAGGTTGGCGAGCAAAATGAAAACATGTGAAAGTTATCCTTTGAGTTTCTGAGACTGCAGGGCTGAGTTCTGTCTACAAACGTGTAGGGACGGACCTGAACCACTCAGGAAGTGGAGGCAGAATTTATGAGGCCAGGGCGTGCACAAGGCACATTTACACCAGCAGTCAGGCTTGGCCTCCTGGCTTTACTGGGCTCACCAGGAATATAAAGGGCTGCTTTCCCAGCACTCTCTTTATTTCTTTGTGCATTTGGCAGATATGACATGGCTGTCCCAGAAGTGACTTTGTAATATTCTACTCTGCCATGACAGCCTGGGAACCAGGCTGTGTTTCTTACCGGCCTGTGAGAGTGCCTTTGGCTGTGGGGCTTGTAACACTGCAGGGCGAAGCACACTCCGCTGCTGCTCCTTGGGCTTCTGGCTTGGCAGACCTGGGAACAGAGGTCGGTTTGCCCAGCCCTTGGACCTCGTGGGCAGAAATGCAACAGCTCAGACTCTCAGGCACTTTACAGACAAATTAAATCCAGCAATCCATTTCATGTTCCTCACATACTAGACTCTTTAGGAAAACACATCTGTGTGTTTTTTTTTTAGAAAATGTTTTTATTGATTTTTCGATAAGAGGGAGAGGAAGAGAGAGATAGAAACATCAATGATGAGAGAAAATCATTGATTGGCTGCCTCCTGCATGCCCCCTACTGGGGATCGATCCCACAACCTGGACATGTGCCATGACCAGAATCAAACTGGCAACTTCTTGGTTCATGGATCCATGCCGACCACTGAACCACACTGGCCAGGTGGGAACCACATTAAAAAAACAAACCCAAGACACTTTTTCTTTATAGTTCAACATATAGAGTTTGGCTATTGCTATTTTTATAAGTGATTAAATGACATTCCCATGTAACTGATCATGTCTGTGAATTAACCCAGTGAGCACACTAATGCTTCAGGGACGCCAAGGGACAGCTGTTCTCAAGTGCTGGGCTTACGGGTCAAGCACAGACCTGAGGGGAAAGCAGCAAAGCCACAGGCAATGCCCCAGAATTTAGGCTGCTGCTTGGGGTCACAGAAAGGCACCCTCAGTACCTGCTTTTCATTTAAAAAAATAAAAAAATATATTTTTAATGATTTCAGACAGGAAAGGAGAGGGAGAGAGGGATAGAAACATCAGTGAGAGAATCACTGATTGGCTGCCTCCTGCACGCCCCCTACTGGGAATTGAGCCTATGCCCTTGACTGAAATCAAACCTGGGACCTTTCAGTCCCCAGGCTGACATTCTATTTACTGAGCCAAACCAGCTAGGGCAGCACCTGCTTTTTAAAAATGCCACATTGAGAAAACACCTCTGGCCACGTACAACCAGGGCAAGGACCACAAGAAAACATTTTTGGCCCTGCTTGGGCTCCATTTGGACCTGACAGGTCTGGAGAGCGTCATCACTTGGCCCTGCTCACCAACAGTGTGCTACTGAATTGAGGCCACTCTGCAAATCAGGGTTAAGAATATAGCATGCTGGGGCTAGAATGCTCTGGAGAGACAGCAGGAACCAACTGAGCTATCACTGGGCACAGAGCCCAAACTCCCATACCAACTCAAGCTTGTTCCCTTGTCACCTCCACTTCAGGGTAGAGAAGCTCCCTGGTCTGACAGGCTCTTTACAGTGTTTTTCCAGAGCTCATGTGTCAGGTAACAGCCCAGAGTGCACTGGTGGGTTGCCTTGGGCAGCTAGGCAGAAGCCTGGAAGGGTATGAGAAAGCCACTCTCCTCTCCTCCTCCAAGGTGGGCACCTACCTGCACTGGGTGCCTGGCCATGGATCAGCGTTGGTGGCTTCAACCGGAACCCACTGCTCTTTTCCTCTAAAAGCACAAGACAAAAGATAAAAAAAAAAAAAAAAAAAAAAAAAAAAGCCTTCCTGAAGTGGGGTGGGGAGGCTGGGAGGGAGCAGGGGCAGGAAAGGGTTGTTGTCTGGGCCTCAGTAGCCAGGGGCCTGGAGAACAAGGGAAATGATTTCAAACTGAAACAGAAATACAGAAGTCCTATCCAACCACCAAGGCTGTTAGGTAGCTTGGGTGCGGAGGAGGGCATTGCAGGAAGTGCAGCTCGGGAAGAAAGTGCAGAGAGTGGAAGACCAGAGGGTGTCAAAGGTGCAAGACAGAAGTGAGGGTGACCACTCTACCCAGGAGCCTTTCCACCTAGAAGGTGAGTGCAAGGCTGGACTTTGCCAGGACCTTGGATGCCATGCTGCACTTGCAGGCTCTGGAGAATGTCAGGGCCACCAAATAAAGGTCTCCAGGGATGCATTTCTCTTTCCTAGAGCATTTGTCAGGAGAGGTCTCTGTACTACCAACAGATGTGTGGGAAATGAGACATGCTTTCTTTGGCAAGAGATCAAGAGTGGCACACAGTGTTCTTGCTCTCTTTCCAGATATGCCTGGAGAGCTTTGTCTCATTGCTTAATGAGAGCACCGGAAGGCCCGGAAGAGGAAGCAGGGTTGTTTGTCCTGGCCACATGTGAGGAGGCGGGGCCTCCTCAGGACTTGAGCTCAGGCTGACAAATACAGGGGTTCTTGGGATAGTCAAAACCTGGTTTCTGCTTAGCCATGCATCCACAGATCCCTTAATCAATGCATCTTGGTGACTTTGCCCATCTCATAAGGGGGTAGGGTGGAAGAGACAGTTTAATGTAATCCTTGGTGGAAAGGATCAGCATAAAAAGCTTTGTGACTCCAACAGGCCAGGTCTGTATCTGGAGAAGCAGAGGGACAGCAGCATTTTGGGCCACCAGAGGCAGCCTTGCTTTTGTGCTAAGGTCTAACACATGGGGAAAAAATCTTGCCAGATTTCAGGGCACAAGATAATAATACAGAAAGCGGTATGGTATGTCAAAATGAAGTCAAGAAAACAATTCCATGTTGTTGGAAGAAAATAAAGACTTAAAGGGAAAGATACCTCAAAAGGTCACATAGACAAATCCAGAGACAGAAAGTGGATTCATGGTTTTGACAGGGGCTCGGAAAGACAGAATGGGGAATGACTTCTAAAGGATATGGGGCTTCTTTTGGGGGTGATTGAAATGTTCTAAAATTGATTACAGTGACACTTGCACAACTCTGTGGATATATTAAAAACCAACCAATAGTACACTAAATGACAACACAAATGCTTTTTCAGACCACTTTCAAGTAGGAAACAAAATCAAATCAGAATTCTGAGTAAAACAGAAGGGCCCTCTTCCTGTCGACATGTTGGTGAGCCAAATTGCTTTCTTTGGGCAAAAAGAGGATTACAGAAATCTCACTGCTTGTTAGTAAAGAGGACTGGAGCCTGCCAGGCTCCTAGAGACTCTGCTAGTGGGATGGTGTCTCTCCCATAAGAGAGCTCTAGGTCATAAAAACCACACTCGGGAAAATCAGACAAAACAGGATGCAGGGGAAGACATGCTGCCAGATGTTTCTTTTTAGAAGGAAAATACCGAATTACATTTCCAAAGCTTAGGGTTATTCAGAAGATGACTGGCAATATAAAACTAAAAAACTGAGATGAAATTCACAATTTAGAAAACTTCTAAAGCCCTTAGAGCTGGCTCTGCAACGCTTACATTGTAGCTACAGATGGATGGCTACCACTGTGCTCTGTGCAGAGCCAATGCTAACAGCCACTGACCCGTGAGGCTGACCTATGCTGATCAGTGTGGGCAGCGGGCCCAGAAATTACTGCTAATGAACATTCACTAATTTTGCATCTGGTGCCAGGCCAACCCTGAAGACGCATAGGAAATCTATGCTGAATGCTGCAGTAAACTGATGGACTGACAGACAAGGTGTACCATATTTCTGAAGGGGCCAAAGCAGGAGGGTGGTATGCTTACAGGGCAGTAAAAGCCTGGAGGACCCTGTTGCAGTCCCATCTTCACTAAAACAAATGTGATCTCTTCTCATGGCCTCTTGCAAGATGGTCAGGGTACAACGAAAAGGCACTGCTTGGAGGTCAGAGCCCCACTACACAAGAGATGGCTACACTGGCGTCTTGAGGGTACATGCTTCCCCTTTGTGAGCTCTCTGGGGAAAGAGGTCTCTCCTCTGGGGTACACTGTGCCCTGCCTTAGGAAGATCCTGAGAGACTTTTAAAAAATATATATATTTTATTGATTTTTCACAGAGAGGAAGAGAGAGAAATATAGAGTTAAAAACATCGATGAGAGAGAATCATCGATCAGTTGCCTCTTGCACACCCCCTACTGGGGATGTGCTTGCAACCAAGGTACATGCCCTTGACCAGAATCGAACCCGGGACCTTTCAGTCTGCAGGCCAACGCTCTGTCCACTGAGCCAAACCGGTCTCGGCCTGAGAGACTTTTGAGGGAGTTACTGCTTACCACCCAGGGAGGCCCAGATTTAACAGGAAAATATATCAGTATTCAACCTGATGTATTCCAGCGGTTGGTGGAATCCAAGAGAAGGCAGCCTGATGAGAGCTGGGGTGTGTAAGGGCAGTGCTGGTGCAGGGGGAGAAGAGTGCTTGACCACATATGGAGCAATGAGTAAATGTATTGAGGACAGAGGGAGTCAGTTTCTTAGAAAAGGGAGGTAGACATTTAGAGGGGGAGATTAAGATGAATCCTGCAATAAATTGGAAGTATCCAGATAGAATTGTAGAAATATAGGTAAATGTAAGCATATGTATGCATATAGGTATATATTCTTAGTTTTGTGTGTGTGTGTGTGTGTGTGTGTGTGTGTGCGCGCACACCCGCGCGCGCTCCCAGCTTCCCAGCTCTGGGCACTGAGAGTTCCAGAGAGCAGTGATAGCCCGAATGGTGGTGAGCACACAGAGCACCCAGATCTTGGTTTCTTGAGACCATGCTCCATTAAGAGCTAGCACCCCTTTGAGGAAAAGAAGGAAAGATGATGAGCCTGGAACCTCTTGTTATGACAGAAAGTAAAGAAAACACGTAAAAGAATGACAGGGATCTGGGAAAAGGACACAGGATCCTGGTTTGATAGGGCCCATTGGCCAAATCTGGTACAATTAAAATGACTGATCAAAATAAAATCTGAATATTAAAATAAATACTAATAACAAGTTGCAACCCACTGACTAAAACAGGAATCCGTAAATCCACATTGACACAAATGACTAAGGTTTTGAATCCCCTTCTCTGAGTAAAGTGTGGAAAAGAAAGCTGCTCCTTACAAAATGCCAATTAATAAATGTTGGGGCAATAATGGGGCAGAAATCTCCATGTGGCCATAATTAGATTAATAATTAATTCAAGCAAGAAAACACTAATGGATGCTAACAAAGGAGGGCAAAATGAGAGATTTCCTTATGTCTCAAAGTATCTCTCCACTGAGCCAAACTCGCTAGATCAACCAAAGGACTTGTATGCATGCATATAAGCATAACTAATGGACACAGACACCAGGGGGGTGAGGGCATGAACGGGAGTGGCGTGGGGGAAGGAGCGCAACAAAGGAATAAGGACACATATGTATTACCTTAATCAATAAAGAAAAAATAAAATAAAAGAATTTAAAAAAAGTATCTCTCCAGAAAATACTAATGACAAAGGGAGAAGAAATAATTTTATAGTGGAGAAATGGGCAGATTCCACCCTAATCAAGTGATCAAAGGCAACCCAGCCTGCACCAGGAAGAGTACACATCGTGTGCCACCACTGGGGTGCACAGGGAGAGCATGGCTGCACTTCTATGGTATTCCAGTCCCAAATACACAACCTGAGTGGAATCCCCAGGAAACACCAGACACCCACCGACTGAAGGACTTCTCCAAAATAACTGGCCTGTAATCGTCAAGGTCACAAAAGTCAAGGAAAGAATGAGCAACTGTTCCAGATGGAAAGAGAGACATGTGATTAGAATATCTTTGCTCTGAAGAACGCATGGAATCTTCTAGGTAAAGGGATAGAGAAATGCTTTATAAAAATTTCCCATAAGTTTTAGTCTCCCTCACCCCAATTAAGCTAAAAAAGCAGGCAAACATATAAGAGGCTCACTTTGCAGAGCTGATGTGCAAATCTAATATGAGTGGCATGCTGCATCAGGTACAAGGGACCAGGGCTGTATCAGAGCCTCTGCTAAGGCAGACTAAGCTGTCCCCTTTTGCAGGGCTACCTTGCTTTCAATGTTGTTGGATAAAGGTTTGGGGGCAGAGAGGGAGCAAGGCCATCACTCACAGACCTCAGAGGTGATTGTGAGATTCATAATAGAACTCCATGGCATAAAGGGATCAAGATGTTTGTCTTCAGCTATTGATCCCTAGACCAAAACAGACTCGCAAAGGCTAACACTGCCCCCACAACTCAGAACACAACTTGCTAAACCAGTGCCCCAGATATGACCAAAAGACCTTTAAAAACCAAGCTCCTCTTCAGAAGCAGGAACGGGGTCAACTCCAAATAGTTTGCTTTTAGAGTCAGGACAAATTCAACTGAAATGGTGCCATCAAATCAATCCTCAAAGTTATAAAAACGCGCCTCTTCCCTCGGCATTGCTTTCATGCCAGAGTATGAGTTATCTTGCAATGCTTTTGAAGTCGGCAATGAATTTATATAAGGCAAGTTTGGTTACAGAATTCGGGTGATTAAACTTGCTCATTAAATCTTTTATGGGGAGAAACTTGCAGGAATTATTGGGGTTGGTTCTCCTGAGAAAGACCAAAAAAGGCAGGCCCTATGTTCTTCAGAGGGGAGCAAGCTGTTTTCCTTAAAGTTTTAAAGCCATGATTAAATATATGCATATATCTGAACACATCTGAGCAATAATTAATGTGAGAATTTAATACACAGAAAAGGTGTCTGGGAAATTATATTTCACATTAGTTACCTCTGGGATGGTAGTCAGTGGGAAAGGGCAGATTAATTCTATAAGTCTATTTCTAATTTGCCTTTTTTAAAATTAAATGAAAGTATTACTTGTGTAAAATTTTGAAAAACAATACACCACTTTCTTTTTTTCCAAGAAGGAAGTAAAAATCCTTGTAAACAGGCTTACTTACAGAAATAGAAATAAGGGCTTATGAAGCCTCTATCATACTGGATTCCAAATGTACAAGCTAAAGAGTTGGGAAAACATTTAGGAACTGAACCTTGCTTTCAAACTGTACATTGCTATTAAGATGCTATGTTACAATATTAACTGCTTTTTGTCCCAGGAAAACCCCCAGTGACTGGCTGTGAAAGGCAAAGGGATGTGAGGGCTCACCTGGTTCTGAGTCAGAATTGCCTGCAGATGGCTCGCAGAAGGTTGATGGCATAAAAACATTGTTTTTTGATACTGTCAGCAAAAAGGTGCAGGCAGGGGAGGGAACAAGAGGAAAAACAGAGTGAGTAGGTGGGGCAGACATGAGGGGTTGATCTCCAAGTCCCACTGTGGTGTAGGAGGTGGGGGTCAACATTATGAAGGCCTTTAGATCTCCAGACTCTCTGCAGCAAGAAGAGGGGAGTCTCCAGCCTAATGGCCTCTTGTCTGATGTCTACCAGTTCACTCCGGTCCACTGTGATCATCTCTCCTGTCCTCGTGCCCCTGGCTTTTCCTTGGCACCCTGGGCCCCTGTGGAGGCAGCCAGGAGGGAATTGGAGCACACCAGATGTTCTAAGCCTTACCCGGGGCTAAGCCTCAGCCCCTGCTCCTTGTCAGCCGTCCGGGCTCATAAGTTGGCTGCACCTGCCACCCCCACCTGTTTCGGATCTTACTGGCACTGCTCATCTTTCCATTTCCTCTGAGGGTTGGGAGCTGATTATCTAGACCAGTGGTTGGTAAACTGCAGCTCATGAGCCACATGCGGCTCTTTGGCCCTTTGAGTATGGCTCTTCCACAAAATACCACGTGTGGGTATGCACGTACAGTGTGATTGAAACTTCGTGGCCCATGCGCAGAAGTCGGTTTTTGGCCCGGGTGAGTCTATTTTGAAGAAGTGACATCAGTATACACAAGGGGCCAAAGAGCCACACGTGGCTTGCGAACCACGGTTTGCCGAGCACTGATCTAGACCACACTGCACTAGAGAGAAAATGTTTGGTAGTCCTTTGCCCCTTCAGCCTAGTGCACAATACAAATCACCTCGTCTCTTTTCTGCTACACCTTCCTAATGAGAAAGAACGGTTCAGCAGTAGACAGTGAACGGAAGGAACACAATCACAGTCAGGAAGTGGATGCCCATCTGGACATTTCCTTAATGCCTAGTGGGCAATTGACAGTGCATCCATTCAGGGGAGTGTCTTATGCAGTCATGAAAAAGGATGTGACAATGTTAATAATAATAATAATAAAAAAAAAAGCATTAAGGGAAATAGGAAATCAAGTGTGTTATAGAGACAACCTTGAGAGGACATTCACTTTCTGCACCAACTATTCCTATAAAGTTTGCATTACTTTTATAAGCAGACACAAACTTTCCAAGAGTGTCTTTTTCCCCTCCCCTTAAAGTGATATCATTAAGATTCACAGTTGTAAATGTTTTATATGAACTTTGCAAGAATGAACTTCAATTTGGGTAACTAGAGATCCTCTCCCAATACACGGTTACAGAGACCAAGATGGGACAATACCAGAGAGAACCAAGTCCAGATGAGGTGGGGAGGAGAGGGAGCAGTCCTGTGACAGCACTGACCCTATAAGGGAGTTCCCAGGCTCGAGGAGCCCCCAATAAGTAGCCCCAGTGTCTCTCCCTACCTTCGAGCCTACCTCTTTCCTGCACCAGATTTTGCATAAGCTGTGGCTGGTCTTCTGGCCTCTGTGCATGTGCTCAGATCATGCCCAGTCCAGATATTTCTACAGGGGTCCAGCCTGACCCACCTCAGGGAGCTCAAGGCCGTCCAACACCACAGTGTCTACTGGGACCACTCAGCTCACTATGAACCGTGTGTGTGTGTGTGTGTGTGTGTGTGTGTGTGTGTCCTTCTCAACTGGACCACTAAGGTCTAGGCAGAAGGGTCAAGAGAATCCCCCACTTCCAAGCAGCTTTTGGAAGGTGGACATGTGATTAATGATCAGAGGCCCCAACAGGGCTCAGACAGTCCCTTTCTCATTTCAGAGGGATGATTTTTCTTGGTGCATCTTTCTTATCAGTCCACTAGGTCATACTCCTCCATAAGTGTCACTTATCCCAGACTGGGATACCTGGTGCGACACCTCTGGTAAGCTCTAACCTTATCGTCACAGAGACCAAGTCTCAGATTGATTCTAACTGGATCTGAGCAGGACACAGAGGAGTGTGAGATGTTGGAGGGGGAACAGTGGGCTTATAAACATGGATGCTTTTGCCACTTAATAAAGGTCTGTGGCTGTTACCTGACTGTGAAGGTGGGAATTGGGTTAAAGAGGACGTCCTTTCTCGCTTGACAGGAGGGCAGTAATTTCCATCTTCTCTGTCAGAATCTACAGAAAACAACAAGGAGGAGGAGAAAATTAGGCTCCTTCCATTTTTACAATCAAAGACAGTGAAACATTTTAGAGGTTTCCTCACCTTCACCACCTTCAGGGCTGGAGCCTCCAGCTGACCTCTGAAACGAGAGCACATGTCAGGATGGAAGAGAGGGCCAAGCTGCCCTCTCACCTAACAGCTCACATGCTCTTTAATGAATGGATGCTGAGACACAGTACTGAGGGCCAACTCAGTACTGTGCCACCAAGTCATAAGAGGAACTTTCAATCTCACGCTCAGAACTCCCCCATGAACCTTCTGCTGACCAGGCCACATGCTAAGGAATCCTCTTAATGACTGACAGTGCACTTATAGCACAAGGACCGGTTTCTTTGTTTCTCCCCAGGTTACAACTAACTGGTGTGTCACCCCCAAATTCAAGCATAGTGAAACGTTACCTGGCCAAAACTCATTTGGCAAAGAGCTGAAAAGCGATCCGTTCTCCACTCTGAAGGGCAGTTTTAAAAAATGGCCGCCTAGCCCTAGCCAGTTTGCCTAAGTGGATAGAGCATCAACCTGCTGACTGAAGGGTTCTGGGTTCGATTCCAGTCCAGGGCACGAACTTAGGTTGTAGGCTCAATCCCAGGCCCTAGTCAGGGCATGCTTGGGAGGCAACTAATTGTTGTGTCTCTCTCACATTGATATTTCTCTCTCTCTCTCCACCCCCCTCTACTCTCTCTAAAAATCAATGGAAAAATAATCTTGGATTTAGATTAACAATAAAAAAATAAAAAAATAAAAAAATAAAAAATGGTCACCTAATACCGAATTGTGGTTTCCATTCCTTGCCCTGGCATATTCCACAGTAAGGTACCTTGTTTCAAGGTAGGCTATTGTTTCCAGAGCAACCCAGAACTTTGATGCCTTGGACCAGTCTGCTGCGAAGTGCTCAGGATAGAACAATTCAGTAGACTACAAACCCAGTGAAGGATCACACACACACACATACCCTGAGAGTAGGTGGCTGAAGAATCTTTCCCTTGACAACCTTTAGTTTTATAATGTGAACAGCTAACAATGAAGAGGCCTGAAGTAAGTCCCCTCCCAACCCAGGATAACACACAATCCCTCCCGTATGGCCCTTCTCAGGGATTTATGCTTCTTGAGAACTAAACAGCAGAGAGCAAATGTGGAAGACTGAACATCACTCCTCCTGGGGCGCTTAAGAAGCAGCAGAGGAACCAGTTTCCTTGGTTTCAGAAAAACCCCTAAGACTCAAGGTTAGCTAAATGATGACCATCTGCCTAGAGGAGCTGAGGGATGAAATGAGATGATGTGTGTGAAAGTGCTTTTCACACGGAAGAGCACGTGTGGAGGCAGTAGCTGTACTAAACCAAACTGCAGACGAGGGAAGACCTGGAGGGACCCTCCTAAAGCTGGGGCAGCTAGCTCTTGTTGGTGACCCGACACCTTCCCTGGTTTTCTCCTGAAGCTGGAACCTGACCCTGCACTAGTGAGAACCTCCTAAAGCCTGGGCAACACACTTTTCTCGTAAACTGCCAGAAAGTATTTCCAGCTCTGAGGACCACATGTTATACATTGTTTTTATAATCTTTTAAAAATGCAAGCACCACCTTAGCTGTGGGCAAGTGTGTGTAGAATGGCCCATCTTGAAGGATGGTGAGAGGTTGGACAGTAAGAAAAGGATCCCAACCTGGACCTTCCCTCCTGTGTGAGTCAATGACTAGGGTTTGAATCAGAAAAACCAATCTGGGCTTCTTGTCCCAAGAGCCTCCCTGGAAGTGTTTGTGAACCAGGGAGAGGATGACACTGTCCCTAGGTGTGTCTCGGGGGATTGGAAGCTCAGAGGGGACCATCCATCCAAGTGCTAGGGAACACAAACCCTTCTAACAACAGGGCTATTCAGTAGTCCTTGGAGCAGATGTGAACACACCTCTGGTCCAAACAGGGCATGAGAGGAGCGTGAGAGTGCTCAACCCCCCTCTCCAAGGCTTCTAGATCTAGACAGTTTCTTCCAGCTCTGCCATTGCTTAAGTGGGAAACCTTGAGCAAATTATCTCATTTGGAAAACAGGGTGCTGGTGTCTCCCACAGGGAAGTGGCCTGGGGCCAACTGGATAATTAGGTGGCACTTGCTCAGCTCAACGTGCCAGTCCTTGCTCTAACTATTCACAGCTCACTTCCACTGGATGTTACACCCTCAGGAACAGGCATGAACAGGAGAGTTGGGATTTGGAATAATGTCCTAGGGGTAGCCAGGAGGTGAGGGACCAGGTTTGAAGACCCTTGGATGGGGGTTCCTGAGCCCACAGCACTATGATTCAGCAGTGACCAGGGCTGACATCTGATAACAAAGAGCTGTGTTAGCGTCCTGTGGCTCTATAGGAACAGGATCTACATTTGGAACCTGGATTGACTTTTGGATCTGGAAATGGCCACCCTCTCTGGGCTGTGTAGACACTGCCACCTCATTTACTGATGTCCTCTTTTCCCTCCAATCTCTAAAGTTCCCATGTGAGAAGAAAATCCCTTGGTCCTCTGGCCTCATTGCTCCCTGTGACAGGGTCCCCTGCTGGACTTGAAGTTCCAGGAAGGGACTGGTCCTCAGTACCACCCAGGAGGAGCTTGCTCAGCATTTGCTCAGTGGAAGACTAGGGAGAAGCAGTGAAGACCTGTGTTCCTAAGTTATGCACAGGGCAACAGCCAGTAGCCCAGAAAGTTGTTAGGCCCGAGTTGCCTCAGCCTCAGTTGTTGCAGAGGAGATTCCCCTAGTATCTAAATCTCAACAGGCATCCGTATATAACTTTTCTGATGCACACTGGCCATCTATGTTAGTTTCCACCTTGAGAATCTTCCAGGGCTCATTCTGCTATGGATTCCTAATTTCATTCCACTGTGTTTGTATGGTTTCAATCCTTTCAGATTTACTGAGATTGGTTTTGTGGCATAGCAAGGGGTCTACCCTGGAGAATGTTCTTTGTGACTGAGGGGTCAGTGCACTGTGTTGGGTCCTTGATGTGCTCATCCATCTGTCTGGATATTCTACTGATAACTGAGTGTAGTATTGAGGTTTCCAACTGTTATGACTGAATTGTCAAGTTCTTCCTTCAGTTCTGCCAATTTTTGCTACATATATTTTGGGACTCTTTTAGTGACACCTAAATTTCTTACCTCTTCCAATGCCACCACAAAACCTCGAGCATCCGGGCTAAGATTTTGAATGTTGCTAAGAGTCCCTCCTCAGACCAGGAGCCTCTGGGGATTTAGCCTCACCTCTCAGGGTCTAGGACTGCTTACCAGGACCCTTGATCCATCCCGTACCACTTCTCCTTGCCGTATACTCCAACCTGCCTTTCTGCTGTTTTCTGAGTATGTCAGCACTGTCCCGCTTCAATGTTCCTTTGCCATGTGCTACTCCCATGGCCTGGGGTGCTTTTCCTGCAGGTCCATTCACTGTGGCCTCCCTGAGGCCTTTCCCGATCACCTCCAGAATGAACCTATGCTCATGCCTATCTCACTGCCCAGGAAGTGGAGGCAGCTCCCCTTCACCTCACCCTCCAGCCTCTCTTGGGCCTCTACCCCGTTTTGTGGATCACAATCAGAAATGATCTAATGTGTCTGTCTCTAAGACTCTCAAGTATTTATTGCACAAATGGAGTCCATATCCTCCACTATGGCCCCTTAGAAAACCTGAGAAGAAAAGTTGTCTGGCCAAACAAGATTCAGACACTCCTAGACCCCTGACTCCAGGAAACCCTCAAATTCTTGCACCAAGTTTTTTGAAGAACCATCCACAGGCATGAGATGGGTCTCTTGGTCTGGAAAAACCTGGAGGCTAAGGCCCGGGAAGGAAAACACAGGACTCTTGCACAAGGAGAACTTTCAAAAACTGCTGGAACCTCCTGTGGGGACTGAAACAGCTGAGAAGCAATGAGGAAACTGACACTGGCAACTCTTCTTAATAAATTAGTACAAGGAAGCAAGAAGACAGAATGTAAGATGAAGTCATGCCTTTGGATATGCTGACTCTTAGAAATCCTTTATATCTATCCATGTGAGGAGCAACCTGCCCTACACCCTGCTGGAGAAGGGCTGAGCTTGTTGTCAGGCAGGAAAAGGTCTGCAGTGTAGCAACTCCCTCTGCCATGTCCCTCTCCCTAAGGTCAACGCCAGCTCCACCATTTCCCTTGGATGGTAGCCTGATGATCTGGATCTCTTCTGTGTCAGAGCAGTCTGGGGGAAACCCTTAATCCCAATCAAGGGAGTGGCTACTCAGGGGTCAGTAGAAAGCAATGCCTGGGACTCCCAACTCCTTGGACCTCAGAAATCTGCAGCCCAAGTTCAGAAATTACCATTAAAGACTCATGTGAGGAGGATTCTAGAGCAGATTTTCAGGATCTGTGCTTCTTAGGGAGAACAGAAGCAGAGTGTAGAAGCCCCATTTTCTACTCCACCTCTTTCCACAATAGAATCCATCTATGGAAGTCAGAACCCATTTGGGACATCATGATGAAAATATACCCAACTAACAATGACATAGGAGGCCGAAGAGAAAGTAGAACAAAGAAAACCCTTCAACTGATTTCTCTGGTTTCAGGACAGTGTGAACTGATTTCTCTGGTTTCAGGACGAAGGAAGCAGGTTCACAAAAATGGAAAAGCCCTCTTAGACGGCAGAGGGGCGGTGGGCTGGTCAGCAGACCAGCCTGCAGAAGAATCAAAGGAGCTGCTCACCATGTGCTTCCGGGCGGCACCGGCAGCCCTCTCCCCTCAGAAGCCACTGGGTCCTCCAGGGAAGCAGTTCATTCTGGGAGGCGTGTAAGACCCTGTCACCAAGTACAAAATCGGGATAATGTCTAACCCAGGATGGGAACATAGGCACGGGAAGCTTCTGATTTTTGTATAAAGGATTAAACTGTAAAAATTACGATTAGATTAAAAAAACATGGCTTTGGTGAGGCTGCCTGTTGTGGCCTTGAGAGAAACAAAGGTGCCAGGCCAGGGAAGGGGATGGAGCTGGAGATTATGTCTCAGAGCATGACAGACATAGGTACACAGGTAGTATGCAGAAATGAAAAGCTCTGCTTTCCTGACCTCCCAGAAAAGACCAGAAAGCAAGACTAACTCAGATAAATTCTTTCCAGAAAATACTGGATGCTTGTTTGACTTCCCTGGCCTCAGTGACTCTGGTCTAGACTGACCAGTTAGAAAAGTCCAGCTGGTTGTGGGGTGAAAAATCAAATAAGAGCAGGGCCTTCTGCCCTGGTCCAGTAGCTCAATTGGTTGTAACATCGTCCCATACACCAAAAAGTTGCAAGTTTACTTCCCAGTTAGGGCATATACCTAGATTGTGGGTCAGATCCCTAGCCAGAGCATGTATGGGAGGCAACAGATGGATGTTTCTCTCCCTCACACACATCTTTCTCTCTCTTAAAAAAAAATAAAAATAAAAGTCAATAGAAACATATCCTTGGGGGAGGTTTTTTTGCTTTAAAAAAAAAGAGCAAAGCCTGATTGCGTCCTTGTCTTCATATCAACTATGGGCCAATTTTGTGACTGAGGCAACCAGCTCAGAAATTCTTACTAAAAAAGCTCACTGACACAAGAAAAATATAAGTGGCCTCCAAAGACATAAAGTAGGGTGGGGATGGAACAAAAGTCAAATCCTGTACAGGAGCTGGAAGATGAGGGAAGCTGTCCAGCCAGGGAGATGGTTCCAGAATCTTTCTAAGCTTCTTGGTGGGTCTCATAAACATAGTTTAAGCACATCAGCGCCTTGGCTTGGAGCTTCAGTCCAGCAGACTTCAGCCAGGATCGGGGCAAGCAAGAAGCTGCTCGCTTCTTCTGGATAAGAGAACTGAATCTGAAATGTGGTTTGGGTTTCTTCAAACTGCCTGCTGAGAGCCAGAAGTCTGATATATAGACTTTTTTCTGGTACTGAGTCTTCCATGGCTAGAGTGCTGATGAGACTGAAAGATGATCAAGGCCCTTTATAACAATTCAGCGAGCCACTCACTATTTGCCATAACGATCTCATGCTTTATAGGCCCCCAGGGATTGAGGCACAGAGAAGAGACAGCATGATGCATGAGACCTACTGAGTAACAAGTGGGTGGTTTCCTGAACTCTGGTGTGGTACAGAACAAGATCCAAATTTGTTCTGATGCAAACACAATGAGTAACCAAGGGAAAAAAATCTCAGCCTGAGAAGCCTGGATCAGATTCCTCTGTCTTGATTTATGCCTTAATTGACCTAAAAACCAAAGTGAACTTTGCTTGAACATGCCCACTCAGCGGGAAAAGCTAACTGACAGGAGCCATTAGCAACCTGTCATGGTTTTCTTTGCAGACAGCCCCACAGAGCAAGCCCTGGGTGAGCCCTCAGAGCTGTCCCCAATTGATATGATGGTGGTGCTGCTGAGGATTTCTGTAGTCATGAGTGCTGAAACTGTGTGTGTGTGTGTGTGTGTGTGTGTGTGTATGTCAGATGCAGGCCTTCATGGTTGTGCTCTCCATTCATAAACCACTCCCCCGAGTCCTGGCTCCCTCCCATGGTGACTTCACAATCTATCCTGATGTTCCCTGATAGAACACTTGACCTTGTATTGGCCAGTCTGGGCAACAACTGAATTTCTTGAGATTAAGAATCTCCAATCCCAAATCCACCAGAATAGAGAAGCCATGTTCCTCAGAGACCAACATTTCGACTGGCCACAGTGGAAGGTGAGGACCCACCAGTCTTACCACGTGGGCACTAGAAGTGACAGAGGTCTGAAATAGCCCACGTGAATTTGGTAGAGTAACTGCTATGACAACCTCTGCACCTAACCATCTGCTACTCTCAGTTGAAAACCTCAACCATCCTAGTTAGGGATGTCTCTGTAAGTTGTGTTTTTCAAAGTAGGCAGCAGTAGAAGGCTTCAGAGTCTTTCAGGCAGGTCCACTTCAAGGTAGTCTGTTCTTAATGCCCTGAGAACAGATGACCTATTTGCAAAGGCTGAAGATAAAATAACAATACCTGACTCAGGAAGAGGTCTCAGGCGCTGTTCTGCCCATAACCAAAAAAGTGAACACCTCTTAATTATTGCCCTGCCAGTTCTGGTGTGACGGCTGTGATGCCAGAACACACGGGTAGTAAGTGCCTCCTGACTGGAGTTGTTACTGAGCTTCTGTGTATACTTCATTATTTCAAATCCACTTCTATGCCATGAAGGACTGCCTCCCCGCTGTTCCCCACCCACGATAAAAACAACTTCTTTATCCACCACACATTGATCTCTCCAAATTGTCAAAATATGACCCCAATCTCACCTTGGCTGAACATGACTTCTTCTTGTGCCTATGGTTTGGTGCCTGCAACTGAATTTTAATGGTTTCCTTAAGAACACAGAGTACTGGAGACGTGACATAGAAATTGTTAAATGTCTGGGGTTGTGATGCCCTGGAAGGCTGCCTAGCATTCTGTATGGCAGTGAGGTCCTGTTTTCTTGTTAGGAGTCATTTTTCAATGGTATGACATTAGGGTACCTAGAGGATGGAGTTTGTAATCCTGAATATATGATGATGTTTACCTTTCCCAAATTATCAAACTCCAAACACTCAAGACATTTCTTGTTCTTGAGAGTTCACAATCTTCTCCACCTATTATCTTCAAAAGCCTTCTTAATACAAAGATAAAGAACTCAAGGGTTCCCTCTGGATTCAAAGAAGAGTCTTCTCTTCTTCCTGCTTTGATTGAAGACAAGCAGCTCACAGCCTCACCACAGTCCAGACACAATCAGTCTTGCAAAGCAATTTGTGTTAGACATCTCCTTTTCCTACAGATTAAGGAAGCCAGAGCTCCTTGTGTTTCTAAGACACTGAATTGGAAGGACCAGATTGAGAGAGAACGAAAAAATGGAAGGAGGGAGAAGGGGTCCAATTTGATCTGGAAAGTTTTACCCACTACTCAATTCCTCTTTTGACCCTTTGTGTCTCTTTCAGGAAACTAGCTTTTTGCTATGGGTATATGTTTATCCAACTAGAAAAGTCTCCATGTAAAGGGGACCTAATGTTCTCTGACTTTTCAGCAGCAGGAATTAAGTAGAGCTGGAGCGATCTTGGACACCTTTTCAGTTATCAGCTGCTTATAATCTAGAGTCTGGATCTGAGGGACCCAGAGGGAAAAGGGCCGGTCTGGGTTGGGACCCCTGGGCCATGGAATGGAGGTGGACTTACCCCTGCCAGTTCTCGTGGAAAAGGAGGAAGCTGGGCTTCAGGAGCGCTGGCTGAAGCGCTAGCAGGGGCAGGAGACTCTAGAGCATGCTCACCAGCTGACTCAGGGTGACCTGGGCCATGGTGGGGAGCCTCAGCCTCCCCCTGAGGCTCCTCTCCCGAATCCGACAAGTCTTTTTGCTCTGCAGAGGACTGGGAGCAAAAAAGACAATTTTCCTTCAATGTAAATAAAGGCTGCAACATGGGGCAGGGGGTGGGGGTGGGGATGGAAGGGCTAGAGATGGCTCCACCTTCAGCAATTCCTGCCCAGGAGGATGGGCCAAAAAAGCAGGCACAAAGTCAAGTGAATGTGGACTTCCTGCTGTTTGACTTTACAAGGAGTTTTAAGGTGTGCAGGAAGTCTGAACCTTTGTTTTCAAAAGTGCAAGGCCTGGCATGGAGTTACTGTGCTTATGGGCCATGAGTGAGGAAAAACACTCCTAGTGACAAAAATGGGGACAGTGTCTCTATCAGAGGGGAACAGGGATGATTACAGGTTAATAATACATCTCCTCAAAGATATGATGAGGGGAGCTGCACTCAGCACCATTTCTGTCTGCTAGGAAAGGTGGGGAAGTAGGCCAGGGACATCACACAGTCAAGCATAGGCATCTAGGGCCAAAAGCTTCTGCATCTCACTCTAGTTATTTCATCAATTTTCAAATTGTTCTGCTTAAACCTGACATGAAGGAAGAGCTTTTCTCATTTCAGTGAGTGCAGGTGTGGGGTGACCAAAGGAGCTGGCGGAGACATGGAAAGCCAGTTTTGTATTGGTGGGAGGGTGGGAGTTTAGCTGGAAGAGGGAGCCCTTTGGCCTGGGATTTCCCCAGGTTCATCCCAAACACCTTGGGCAGGAGCTTATTAGGAAAACAGCCAGGATAAGAGAAAGCTGGCTCCAGAAGTCTTTGTTCTTGAAAGCAAAACACCCCGGGCATTCTTTGAGCTGTTCTTAGGCTTTTGGGGATTGCTTCAGTGGGTTGAGAGCTCTGTGGCCAAGACTCTTCTCTTGAGAAGTGTGTTATAAAGCTGGTGTCCTGCAACAGATGGGCTGCAATTCCCAAACCTCCTGCATGGCATCATCCGCATGAAGCCATTTCTCTTACTTTGTGAACTAAATGACCACAGGGCTACCCTACCCTGCCTCCCTGCTGCAGCTGCCGTGTTTGTTCTGGGTGTGAAGTACCTGAGATCTCTTTAGATAGGTCTATTTTTTAACATGTGAGCCTGTTGGATGAAAGGTGCTATATAAAAAATAAAAGAAGTTTCAAACATTCTTAGGAAAGCAATAGCAATACAATGTTAATTCATGCACACATCTAAAAAGCCACCAAAATCAACCCTTCCTATCTAGGGAAGATCCACACACGCAAAGGCCTTCCCAAACTAATCTCTAACCTTTATGGGGCACCAAGGTCAGTTTGCCCACTATTCGGCTGCTACTTTATGGCGAGAAATTTAACACCCGCCAAAAGAAAATTAAACCCAGAGCTTTGTGGAAAACTGCCTATCTTTCTAATTAGAACCAGCTGAATTTTTTAAAAAAAATCTCTGCTTTTAAATCAGTGCTTCTTTTCAAATGGGAAGTTGAGGTGAACTTAGTATCAATTAATTCATGACATCTGGGCAAAAGTGTATGTAACAATTTACTGAGGATTATAAGCAGGCTCTAGCTTGTAAAAGTAGAAACCAAATGTATACAGTATCTACTGAGCTGATTGCTGATGCTTCTACCTTAGTTGCTTTCTTACTTATTTACAATTCTTCTACTCTCATATATATATATTTTTAAAAATTCCTACTTTTAAAACATAAATGTTCAAATGTCTTCATAGCATGGTGGACTCAAGATTACCAAAAAGAAATACAAATGTTGTTCCAGCATTTTCTCCTTGGGCCCAAGTGTTTCTGTTGGACAAGAAAAGTGAGCTCTAAAGAACCAAGATAGGCAAGTGATGAACAGCAAGAACCTACAACCAAGATTCTCTACCCAGCAAAGCTATCATTCAGAATTGAAGGTCAGATAAAGAACTTCACAGACAAGAAAAAGCTAAAGGAGTTCACCACCACCAAACCAGGATTATATGAAATGCTGAAGGGTATTCTTTAAGAAGAGGAGGAAGAAGAAAAAGGTAAAGATAAAAATTATGAACAACAAAATGACAACAAATAATACCTACCAACAAGTGAATCTAAAAATCAAGTGAATAAAAAAATCTGATGAACAGAATGGACTGATAAATATAATAGAATCAGGGACATAGAAAGGGATTGGACTGGCAGTTCTCAGAGGGAAGAGGTTGTGAGGGATACGGGAAGAGATTGGACAAAAATCTTACACCTATGGATGAAGACAGTGGCAGGGGGTAAGGCTATGGGGTGGAGTGGGGATTCAGGTCGAGGGGAGCTATGGGGGTGGAGAGTGGGGGGAGAGGAACACCAGTAATAATCTGAACAATAAAGATTTAAAATAAAAAATAAAAAAGAACCAAGAGAGGACCTGTAGTTTTTCAACATGTTTATTAAAATCAGACATCAGATCCAGACCCTAGATCATATATTCTAAACTATATATGGCTGAGGGTATGCTAGTTACACCAACAATAAGCTTCAAAACTAGGTCTAAACATACTATATGGCATTTTCAGCAATACTGGACTTTCTGCTCATAAGCATTTCTGTAACTGCTTTCTGTCTTGTTACCAAATGGGCATTATCTTGCCAGTGCAACCGCAATACCATCCCCCTTCGTATTAACAGTGTTTGGAAGATTAACTGAAATATTAAAAAAAAAGTTTTATTGATTTTAGAGAGAGATGAAGGAGGGAGAAAAATATTGATATGAGAGAGAAATATCAATTGGTTGCCTCAAGTACGCATGGAACCCAAAACCTGGGCAGGTCCCCTAACCAAAAATTGAATAAAAGATCTTTCAGTGCATGGTACAGGGGACAATGCTCAACCAACTAAGCCACACTGGCCAGGGCTCTAAGAAACATTTAATCATCACATACATTAAGACAACCTACTGAATGAGATTCAAATTCTCTACACATTAAAATGAAAAAAGAAAAATCTGCTTCCATTCAAGGCAGTTAATAAAAGGTTTTGTTTTTGCTTTAAAGGCAACCAATCAATGTTTTTTGTTTTTTTCTCTCTCAGATCAATAAACATATCCTTGGGTGAGGCTTAAAATTTTAAAAACAACCCATTAAGAAAACCACACAAATGCATTTAAACACAAGCATTTTGTGAAGAGCACCACCTTGAGGAAGCCTGGAGACATGGAAGGAAGTAAAGACAATTCCTGTGCGTTAGGACTGGAGTTCAGACTGTAGAAGGCTTTCTCTAACTGGGACAACAGGAGGATTTGACAACTTGACCTGTGTGCCACCAGCAGGCCACTAACACCAATTTGTAGTTTGCTATGAACACACAGATCATCAATGGAACTGATATAAAATATTGTGTGGCTTTACTACAACAAAACAAAACAAAACAAAAAACACCTAGCTGGCAGCTTATTTGTTTTTAAAATTTCAAATCTTTATCCCAACAATAGCTGGGCCTGTGGTGTGCTCTCCTTTGAAGGGGGTTGGGAGACAGGGGCTCTTTGAAGTACACCCCATTGGATGGTTTAGAGGCTGTTTACTGACAAGGAAGTTAATGGCCTCACAGTGACAATGAGAATACTTAATCTATGTGGATCAAGAAGTGGCTCAAAAAATAGCTCTTTTGGAAGAGACTTCTGAATGATCATTTTCTTAGGGGTGACAATGGGTTAGGGATGATATAATATAGGAATGACACACTATTCCCTAGGAAACACCTGCACAAGTATTTAGAGAGGAACATCAGATGGGGGCAAATTACATTTGAGTGCTTTCAGCATTTATGACAAAAATGTTAACAGTAAAGCCAGGTGAAGAATACCTGTGCCTTCAGTACCATTCTTCCATCTCATCTAATAATCTGAAAATTTCAAAAAAAATGTCAAAGAGAAAGAGGATAAACTGTGTGCTCAGAAAAAAGCAGCCCAAACAATCTTTTTCCAGTTCTGCTTCTGCAGTGTGAGAAGGGAATAGGGCAGAAAGAAAGAATGAAATTGGAAGACTCTCAAACTCTTACTTTGGCAAGAGGTCTTCTGGATGATTCTTGAAGGCCTGCCCTTCTTTCTTGAAATGGAAGTTAAGAGGAAACAGAGCTACCTGAGTTACTGTTTATTTTCTGCCTTACTCATGAGTTGTCATAACAATAAAGAAAAAAAAGAGCCGAAACCGGTTTGGCTCAGCAGTAGAGCGTCGGTCTGCGGACTGAAAGGTCCCAGGTTTGATTCTGGTCAAGGGCATGCACATGGGGTGCAGGCACATCCCCGGTAGGGGGTGTGCAAGAGGCAGCTGGTCGATGTTTCTCTCTCATTGATGTTTCTAGCTCTCTATCTCTCTCCCTTCCTCTCTGTAAGAAAATCAATAAAATATATTAAAAAAAAGAAAGAAATAATCTGAAGAATTAATGACCATATATATTAAAAAAAAAAAGATTCTGTGTCAATTTAGCCACTATCTATCTACCTGACAGCTCAGAAAGCACCCCTAAAGGACAGTCACAAAGGCTTCTCCAGCTTCTGTGTTAAACACAGAGGTTTCCCACACCCTTTCAATGATCTTGGGACAGAAATGGAGAGCGAATTCTGAAGAGCTGCAGATCAGTTATTTTTAGAAGCCCATTAGTGTTGGGCTCTGAGTCAGTATTTTGATAAGAACTACATTTGTACATTTTAAGATGATGATGACCATCTTCCCAGCTACTCTTCTGGTTCAATGTCATCTATTTACATCAACTTTATGAAGGCAATACAAGTAAGTTATCCTTTTAATTACAAAGCAACAGAACCAGAAGGAGCCGAAACCGGTTTGGCTCAGTGGATAGAGCGCCGGCATATGGACTGAGAGGTCGCAGGTTCGATTCCGGTCAAGGGCATGTACCTTGGTTGTGGGCACATCCCCAGTGAGGGGTGTGCAGGAGGCAGCTGATTGAGGTTTCGCTCTCATTGATGTTTCTAGCTGTCTATCCCTCTCCCTTCCTCTGTAAAAATCAATTAAAAGAAAAAAAAAAGAAGAAAAAAAAGAAGAATCAGAAGGAAAGGGGAGTGGGAGGAGGTAGAAAAGGATAACAGGGGGATAAATGGTGATAAAAGGAGACTTGCCCTGGCGTGGTAAACATATATAATACAATATACAGATGATGTATTAAAGAATTGTACAACTGAAACCTATAATTTTATTAACAAATGCCACACCAATAAATTCAATAAAAAAGTAAAAAAACACAACTAATTAAACCAATTGAAAAACGAAAGCAAGAACCACAACTGTGAAAACAGTAATAAAATAGGAATTAATTTTAAAAGCATTTTAAATTCAGCCAAACAAATATTACATTTTAGTTTTCCATCCTGCCAGTTGCCCAAAACTCCTCAGGTTTAAAGAATTATTAACTCCTATTGCTCATTTTAAATTCAAGGTCTGCAAACTTTTTCTGCCAAGGGCCAGAAACTAAATATTTTTGACTTTGCAGGCCATGGGTCCAAATTACTTTACCCTGTTGTTACAATGTGAAATCTGCTTCAGTAACTGTGAAGGGATAGGACTGGCTATGTACCAATAAAACTTTATTTACAAAAACAAGCAGTGGAGCCAGCCCTTAGTTTGCTGATCCCCGTTTTAAGCTAAAAGTGATTCAAAAGATGGTCTCACTAAAACTCAAAATTCTAGAAAATCCTGACTTAATGGAAAACTTCAGAAGTGACTTTTACCTCTAAAAGAGAAATCAAATACATCCATTTCTAAAAAGCTATAGGGAACACATCAGCCTTTCAGTGACTGACCCTTTTCCAAAGGAGAGATGATTAAAAACACAGGTAAGTAAGCTGTACATATGTGGAAGGGCCCAGGGGAGAGGAGACAGCAGAGGTTGATGTATCTTGAAAATACCACCTGGAAAGCCAAAACAAAATGGGAAGAATATTTCCTCAGGTTTGGCTATTCTTTCTTCATCAAAGAATTAACAATGGGGGTGTCTAATGTGAGAACAAGCCTAGTAGGTAAAACCCTGCCAAAACTGAAGGCTCCAGTGCAAGGGTGTGTGGGTTTAGGACCCCACTCCCTCCTGTCCTCCTGGTACATAAGCTTTCTTCCTGGCAGAGCACCTAAATGTTTTCCAGGAAATTGGGCTGCGCAGAAATAAAAGTCTGGCTTTTCTTCTCAGACCAAAGGACAAAGTCTACAAAGCAGTAGCTGGACTGCTGGGAGTGCCAAATCACCAGAGTAGGTGACCCAACCTCCAAGCCGGCCACCCTGCCGAGAAACTGGGGATCCACCAGAGTACCTAGACCTGAGCCAATTCTCAAATTCTCTTCTTATCAAGATTGCAAATGGATTTCAGAACACACTTGGTCACTCTGAAATCTTGCTATGGGTATTAAATTATCTGCTGTCCTGGGCCATGGGTGGGATGGGATCATCCATGTTTTTGACAAACAGAGGGAGTCCTCACATCAGCTTGGGAGGCATCACCACAAAACATCAACTAACTTTGGACACAATCCCAACCTTCCATACTGATTTATCAGATAAGGATATAAAACCTGTGACTTCAAGACCAACAACTGGCAAAGGTAGGTATGCAACTGATACACCAATCAGGCCTTTGACAAGGTATTTCCAACAACATTTAAAATCTAAAGAAGGGGAAGCAACACAACAAAGATGAATAGTAAACATACAATAGAAGTAAACTAATAATTATTCTAAATACATTTATGTCTTGTTTGTTGGTTGGGGCCAAAAAATATCTCTAAAAATCTTTAAAATCTTAAAAAAAAAAAAAAGGTCCTGTTTTTCCTTAACCACCATTGCTCTCTCCTTCTTTCCTCCCTCTCCCCACTTTCTCTCCCACCTTGTCCTTCCTCTCCCTCCTTCTACTTTTTTTCTCCTACTAATTTTCCTAATGTACAGTATTTCTAAATCAAATAATTAGGAATGAGGACAAAGTTTTCTACCACCATTTTTAAAGCAGGGTCTCTGAACCCTTTCCACACACACCTATCTCAACCACTCGCCATGGTAACCTAAAGCCACTGGACCTTTTTCCTCCAAGCTCAATGTAAAGGCTTAAAGGGCAGAAGTATCCTTTGCCATGTGACCTGGGGAGAGAGATCTCTAGGAGAAAACAAATGTGAAGAGAGAACATACCAGCCCCTTACCTTTTGTCCTTTATCCTTCTGAAACACAAAGACGGGCGGAGCAATGGCAGGTTTTTCTGCAAAAAGAAAAATTGGTGTTTTTTCCCCCCAACACTATTTCATATAATAAACAAAATTATAATTATAAGTTAAAAATAAAAAAACAAACCCAATATAAAATTAATAACCCCAAAGGATATCAAATCAGTTAGAAAATACTTCCATTATGAGGAGGTGTGGGGTTTCAGTTTGTGACAATGCAACACTTTATGGTAGGATACATGTGCATATTATACACCAATAAAAAGGCTTTAAGACTCACTTAGGCCTGATCAAGGGAGAGCAGTGGGGAGTGTGGCCAGCTGCAAGACATTGGAGGTGACAACTATTCAGTGCCACCAACTGTGGTTCTGAAGGAATTTGGCTCAGGGAAGTCATATCTGTATATGTTGTTATCTATCTATCTATCTATCTATCTATCTATCTATCTGCAGGCCAGCTGAGGTCAGGGGGCAACCAGTTTGCAATCTCTGTCCACACAGCTCATGCTTGCTGGAAAACCCTGGCCCACATTCCACCCAAAAAAATAATTTAGGGATTTGCATGTCTGCAGACGGAAAAGACTCTCTTGGATGCCCTGCCAGGGCTATGCCAACTATTTTCTCAGGCAACACCATACATCTCCTATCCAGGGGCAGCCAAGAAAGCCTCTGCAGCCAGCTAGGGGACTGTAACCCAGGACTACCTTAACTCATGGGGGAGGCCTCTCATCGTCTTGGGCCTGGGCATGGTGGCTCTGGGAGTGCTCATGAAGCCTGTAGGGTGTGTTTAGGGTCTCCTTCAGCATCCAAGGGCTGAGAGGAGGGAGGCCAGGGGAATCATGAATTTGAGGAGCATCTGCACAGTCCTGCTGTCAGAGTCTCCAGTCATAGGAAGCTTAGATTAACCAGGAACCTACTTTCACACAGCTTTGCCCAAATAGGACTGCTATGTAGAAGGGGGACACGGTTCACAGTTGATAAAAGTGCCCCCAGAGGGAGCTGGTAGAGTGTTTGGTCTAGAGTGTCAGGGAAACATCCCTGAGATGAGGGTGCTGAAATCTCAGGGAGAAGAGCCTGGCAGGGAGAGTGGCAGGTGTGAAGGCACGGAGCCCAGGGTCAGATGGTGGCCACTGGCAAGGATTTGGGAAGTGGTGCAAAAGGAGTGGGCGAGACACGGAGGTTGGTTCAGGTTTAAAATGAGAACAGTGTGGGGAAGAGGCCATGTGAAGAGACCAGTTAGGTGACAGTGATTACCCACAATAAAAAAGAGGTGAAGAGGAAGTTTGAGGAGGAAAAAGGACAATACCTACACAAAAAGCAAAGAGATCCTGTTCCACTCCCCATCTCTCCAAACCCCACTTCTTGGAGAAGCAGGACAGTCTTCACTTTGAGGCAAAGGTCTACTGAGGGCGACCATTCCCTTTGCCGCACTCACTGAAGCTGCACCATAACCGAGTAAGATTCACCACAACAGTTCTCATTGTGCACAGCCCACAAAGGGCACGGGTGAATGACATGTGTGAGAACAAAATGCTAAAGGGAGGAGAGTAAGGGTCACCATCAAGGTTTCCAAGCTACCCTAAGCAGCCATCTCCTGGCATAGTGCATAGCTGCTGCCTGACAAACCAGAATGGATGCATGCATGAATGAATGAATGAATGAACAGGCATCTGGTAGACAATAAATGACGGCAAAGACATGCTGGAGGGACTCTGGGGATGGCAGCAGCTTATTTACACTTGTCTACTATGGGAAATCCCAGAGGCGATCTGGTGCTGCCCTATAAACCACAAACCCAGCATCAGGGATTGGAGGTCCAGGCCCCAGCCTCTCTTCTGTCTTCAACTCCTGCCCAGCAACAAGGCACTGAGGTGCACAGAAAGCAGCCAGGGTTTTGGCCAGCCCAGCACCCCCAACCCCTCATTTCCTTTAGGGAAGCACCCCTTCCCCACCTGTTTCAGATGGAGCCTAGTCCTGGGTCCAGGCCTCAGGAGTACTGCATGCTCTGATCCCAGGGGACGCTGTGACTCTCGAATAAGGCCAGGCTGCTGATGGTGAATGAGATTCAGGTCCAAAAATTTTGTTGGGAGTATTGGGGAATGGGAGCTCTCTCTGCTCAGCTGGTGGGAGGTAACCCTGGTGCTGCCACCAGCTGCCTGTCATCAAAAGGGACCTTAGACTAGAGCCAATCCAGCAGGAAGCAGGGGAGGAAACTGAATCCCATCGCTGGAGGCCCAGGGCCTAGCTGGCTCACAGCTAACCCCACCCCCAAGACTTTTCAGCTAAGTCAACAGAAGCTGATTTTTGTGTAAGGCACTCTGAGCTTGATTTCTGCCCCTTGTCTCCAACAGCCTCCAGCCTGAGAGGTTGCAGACTTCACTAAACTCACATTATACTTTCCAGAAGAAACCTTGGACTGGCCTCACAGCAGGAACCAACAGCTGATTCACTATGTATTTATGGGTTTATGGTCTATCTCCGCTACTAAGACTGCCTGATTCCATCTCCCTGTCCTGTGATGTGAGAACATTACTTGGCAACCAGAAGGGATTCAACAAATATCTGCTGAAGGGATGAGCAAGGGGGAAGGGCACTACAGAAAATGATTGCCAGGCTAGTAAGAAAGGACTAAATGAAGAGAGAACCATTTGGACAGCAGAGGAAGAACTTTCTGATCTGCAGGCACATAGGAGGGTAATTGTGGACCGCCTGGGACAGGACAGGACAGGACAGGACCATGTGGTAGGGTCTGGGAGAGGTCCCATCTAAAGAAGGAACAATTCTGTACTGCAACTGGCATGTTGCTAAGCTGGGGCAGAGGGAGGTTATGGAGGGGACCACGGGGTCTGACCTCTGAAATGAGCCATCCAGAGAATAGGAACACCAGCTGAGATCCAAACAGATCCACCCTTGTCACTACCATCTCAGTTCAGACCTTTTCTGTCTCTACCTTCACCCGCTTAAGTACGGCTTTCAGAGCAGCCAGAACCAGTGGTGTGAAACACATGCCTAAAACTCTGCAGTGCCCTCCCAGACTAGGGTTGGAGCTCCTTCAAACAGGCCATCCCCACCTGACCTTTACTGTGGCACTGTTCCTTGTACACCCCATGCTTCTGTCACATTTCTGGATTTCTTACTGGTTTAGTCCTTCCACCTAGTGTTCCCTTAGTCAAGATTCATTAATGTACAGATACCATCTTCTTCACGGAGCCCCTAGTTTGAACTGTGCTCCCAAAGTATCCTGCATTGATCCTACCTAGGCTACTTGTCAGGGAGACTGGGAGACGACTGACATAGCATCCAAAACAGCTCTGCACCCCTAGCCTGTCACCCAATGTACCTCATATTAAGAATCATCCAATAAAAGTTTGACCTAAACTCTCTTTGTACTTCTTCATGTGCATAACACTAGCTACTATGTAATCACAAATATCTATTAAACCCTTATTCCATGCCAGGTATCATGGGAACAAGCAGGGGGCAGAAAACTTTGGGGTAGAATACTCAATTTAAAGGGACTGTGTTTGTGTACAAGGCCTAGAGCTTGCATGGGTTATTTATCTGCTCCCTGGCAGCATCTTCCCAGGAATATAAACTGCATAGAGGCCTCTGTTGTGTTCGCCTCCATATCTTTGGAGCCATACATGAAATATATACTCAATAAGCAGTTACAGAGTAAATAAAATGACTTCCATTGCCAGGGCTACAACTGGGTAAGTGGCAAGTGCGTTGACAGCCCACCTGGGGCCCCCACTGAGGGTAGGTTTGGCAGGGATGACAAACACAACACTATACTAAAATGTAACATTGAACTTCAGCCAGTCAGTTCTCCACCAAACACACAAAGCACCAGAGTTACACACATTTCATTTCCACTCAGCTCCAATAAGGTCAGAAGTCCATAAATTGCAAATTAGTACTGATAGTACAAAATAACGATATGCACCCCTTCCACGTAGGATGGTTCTGTAGTTATCAGAGTAGTCACAGCTGGTTTTTTAAAACTGTCCCCTATCACCAAACAGTTTCAGGTTGTCAAGCAATAAGGCTTCTATGATCTACTTGAACTCTTAGTTCAGACACTAGAAATTTCTAGAGACCCAGGCCACCACAAAGACCTAAGCTATTACAATGTTAATCACATGCAGACTATTCAATCCAGATTCTGCCAACCAGGTGTTTTTGTTCTGTGAGATGCTCCCTGATTAAATTAGTTTGTAAAAAAAGCAGCTCATCCAGAGCATTAGCTTGACACATCAGCACAGGAAGGGCTAAGAAAATAAAGGGTGGCCCTACCCAGTTTGATTCAGTGGATAGAGCATCGGCCTGTGGACTGAAGGGTCCAGAGTTCGATTCCAGTCAAGGGCATGTATCTCGTATCTTGGTTGTAGGATCCTCCACGGCCTGGGCCTACGTGCAGGAGGCAACCAATTGATGTGTTTCTCTCACATTGATATTTCTCTCTGTTTTTTTTCTCTTTCTACTACTCTCTCTAAAAATCAATGGAGAAATATCCTCGGGCAAGGGAAAAAAAAAAAAGCCCTAGCTGGTTTGGCTCAGTGGGTAGGGCGTCAGCCTGTGAACTGAAGGGTCCCAGATTCGATTCTGGTCAAGGGCACATGACTTGGTTGTAGGCTCAATCCCCAGTAGGGAGCATGGAGGAGACAGCCAATCAATGATTCTCTCATCAATGATGTTTCTATCTCTCTATATACCTCTCCCTTCCACTTGGAAATCAATAGAAACATTATTAAAATAAAGAAAACCAACAATGCCCTGGCTGGTGTGCATAGTGGTTAGAGCTTTGGCTCAGGAACAGAAGGGTCACAGGTTTGATCCCCAGCTAGGTACCATGCAGGAGGCAACCAACCAATCACCTTTGTGTATCTGTCTCTCTGTCTATCTGTCTTGTCTCTCTCTCCTCTCCTCCCTCTCTGCTTGCCTCCCTCCCTTCCACTTTCTCTAAAAAAGAAATGAATGAAAAAAAATATCCTCGGGTGAGGAATAACAAAAAAGAGAAAGAAACAGTAAAGAAG